CGAACTCCTGGTTCTTGGACTTTATTGACACTGACTGTTAACGTCTTCCTCACAAATTTGGTCAGGACCTGTTATAGCTTCAGGTCTCTTTCCGTGCATAATCCATATTTGGTTTATGCAAATTTCTGGAGAAGTCATTAGGATTCTTTGAATGTATATATTCTGTGACATCAATCAGACGAGTCATTCCATGGACATACACATTTTCCTTTCTGTATATTACTGAAACATTGTCGGTAAAATGAAGTCGATGTTCAGTAAAATCTTAAAACTAATAACAGTATTTTGAATTACGTAAGATGTAAACAGTTAGTTCTAAGAGATCGTTGGAGAAAAATATAGACAGGTTACTTAATTCACAAGGAGTACGGTAAAATGTGTATACTTTCATTATATTTCCACTATTTGATATTGGTCTACATTTCTGTGTAAAAAACATGAAGGTTGAAGGGTTTGGTTTCCGGGAGGGTTTAGTCTGCCGTGTTTAATATTATCGGTTTCATCCTGTGTTTCCATTAATCTGTCAAAACATTCTACAGATGATACAACTTAAGTAAATCAAATCCCTGTAATTCTACGAATAACACTTTATTATATCAACGGATAACCTTTGAAATGGAAGGCGACTAACATAGTGATGGGCACCGTATAATTTAAGCACATTATACAAGGATGGTTTTCTCCCCAAAACTAGACCTTTCATTTGATCCAGTCTTTTGAATACTCTTACAGTACATTTTTATTTTGCATAATCAGATGAAAACTGCCTGTCGGTACTGACTGCTTAAGTCAATGGTCATTTGGAAAACGTCTAATTCTTTACTTGTAGACGCTTTTTGTCTACATAAATCTTCCGTTGTTGAAAATAAGGATAGATTTTCAGGTTGCTGTGCGGTTGTACAGTGAATAACTCGGTACCGTCAATTATGTACTTATTATTATTTTGGCGGCATACTCAGTGGCATCACCGGGCATTTTCGAATATCATTATGTGATATTTTTAGATTTTTCCCACGTCAACTGTATTTGATAATTGTAGAAAATCACCTTTACGAAAGACCATCGACTATAATTTTTAAATTCACGTAGATGGTTTGTATGTTGAGTGAAAGAGGCTTTTGACAGCAACTAGTGATCATTTGAGATTTTCTCCATCCATCACAAAAATACTACACCCTTTGTTTTTCCTCTGATCTATATTTGATATAATCCACGTTTATGATTATATGAAGCTACAGTGAAGTCGTTTGACACTCCCTTCTGAGTCTTCTTGAGCTAAGGCACGTATGTTTCTAGTTTTCTCACTATTCTTCAGTTACCCAAACCAACTCCACTTTCTTATCTTTATCTATTATAAAACCTATTATACAGTTCGCATGTGCATTCTGGTCCTGTAATCTATTAGGTCAGCTATTATGGAGACTGGGAAATTATGTTTGTCAACTTCATAAATGTTCATATAAAATCCTCAAGGACAGATATTTCCCTAACCAACGTATAAAATGCATTACTACTAAGTCCATATGAAGGTTTTTATACTTCTCGGGAATCCGTTAGCGCTAAAATACTTTTTGATTGCTAACTTCTGGTCAACATTATTCGACAAATAATACACCTTTTCCATTTTTTCCACAAACCACTTCTTGGCTTTTCGTTTATTATTTATCTATTTATTTATAAACTCTGAAGAAATGACTTACATTAAATCACGAAACGTCGAAAATATGTTTATTATCTACTTCTTGGCTTTATTTTGTATCCCGTAAAGTGCCAAAATTAGCTGACTAACAGTTGTTAGCGGAATTCCCCATATAACATATGTTAATCTGTGTACTCGAGAAAAATCAGTTGGTCTCAATAGCTTTGTTTTTAGGACTAAAAAGCACCTTGGGGTATATTGAATTTTTTTCTCGTGGATATTATGGAGTCACTGGATGAGAAACACCAAGGTCAGGTCTAGTGTACTAAGCAAAGATCGTTTTATGACGTTGTAGATCTTCAGGCTCAAATGACTGGAACATGTGTTATATGTCGTCAGCCACTTCTTACCGTGGGACACAAAGTCATCTAGCTTAGGATTGGGCTAAAAACAAGCTAGGTGCAGCCAAACCGAGATATAGCATCAGTTAATGAATTCATTGGATGCTAATTTGAGCTTTGTTGTTAAGTGTAGACTACCTGGTCATGGTCCGCGCGACTATTGTGACCAGTGGTGGGATATATCAAGTTACATGGCTTCGAATCAGCTCAAGTGATGCATCCACTTTGCTTATTAGATCCTGAGTCCAAAAAATTTATACTGTTTGTTTCCCAATTTCATCCTTCTCGAGTCAAATCTTTATTACCGTGACTCAAATTTCTCTTACTTTGGTATTTATCTTGTTACTTTCTCACTGCTGATTTAGCATGGCATGTTGGGCCAATACACATTTGTGCCAGGTTCTGACTTTGCTTATGACTTACTGGCTAACTTAGATAATCTATTCAGAAAATCCTCTTGTATGTGGGTAAATACGTTAGTGATATTTGTCAGCAGATAATCATAAAGAAGTAACCAAACTGCATTCATCTTAATTCCTACTAGTCTCATATGCCACAGACTAAAAGATCGCGGCCAAATTGTTTTGGCTAAAAAATAGTTTACGTAGTTCAAACGAAGGTAAATATACTTAGTTTTGTGAAGAAGTTTGAAATATTAACGTGAAATAGACAAATAAACTGTACACCACTAAGAGTTACGACGTCGGTAATTCGTCAAATCTACCATCAAATTATGGGTTTAAAATTATTGCCAGTAGCCTTAATGATGAATTATTTGTACTTGGTGGTTGACTTTATACCTAGGTTCTCTAACATTATCTGTAGTGATGAAATAAGCGTTCAAAACTAGTGTTATGTGTTTATCCAATTAAATTAGCTGTAATATATCCTTTTGGTGATATATGTGAGGTGCAAACGAGTTCTCAGAAAGAATACAGAGACACGGGAAGCTATTACAAACCCACCTAAAACTATGTTCACTACTTATACTCTAGAGACTTCACAGATATATTTTCTAACAGGATATTTAGTATGATATGTGACAATGATGTGTAACAATAAGCAGCATGCAATCCGCCTGTTAGAACTCTTCAATAATGCTCATCCTAACATACAATTTACTGTGAAACACGGACAGAATGACATGTTATACTTTCTTGATATTGCCATAAAACGTAGAGGAGACAGGACAGTTCAACGTTCGGTTTACCAGAAAGTACTTGGAACGGCCTTCACCTGAATTCCAATAGATTTTGTCCAATCAGTTACAAGAAAGCATTGGTTAAAACACTTATAGGGTAGAAAGGATATGTACCACCGACAGACTGGAAGGAGAATTGATAAACGTTGAAAAATGCCTAAGAGACAATTGCTGACCACGGAAATTTACTGACAAATATAAAAAACCTAATGAAGACAAGACGGAAGTGATTACGGTCAATAAAAAACCAATACCTATAAATCTCAACTTTAAAAGTGATGACGTCGCAAACACAATCAGCAAGAGGCTGAACACTGCATTAGCCAGAACTTACCCGGTAGTCAAACTATTAATTCTGTATAAAACATGTTCAATAACTCAATCAAAGGTTTACAAGCACCCCTTTTATGTTATCGCCAACTGTATTTGTGTACCTGCAAAAGCAACTACATTGGCCGAATAGAAAGGAGGGCTTATCTTAGATTTTTTGAGCATGTTCCAAAAAGCCTTAGAACAAGAGAAAGAAAGATTTTAAACAGTGCAATCACCAGACATCTGGATACAGGACATCAAGTCGATACCTTGCCATCTTTCAGGGTGATCAGTAAGCAGCCAAACTCCAGTCTTCTTATATTTGCTCAAACCGTTGCTACCAGGCGTCAAAAATCTGACTTATGTATTCGAAAGGAGACGGTTATTAATCTTTCCTTGCCTTTGCGACAAATATTCCTTCGTTGCATCTTAAACTTTTTCCTTTAACTCTTTCTTGCATTTATTACATCACTGCGTTTTTATTTCAACTATCTTCCGAATTAGTTATCTTATTTTATTAACTGAGCCTTACTCATTTTATTTCTATCAGCGTTTACTCATTATGTAACCACTTGTTCCTGGCCGTTTGAACTGTTGTCACAACCAATGTTGTAGAATTTTCTTTTACATAAGGTATATATTTGCAATATTCAGTCTAGTAAATTTATTTACACCCTTGCTATACTAATATGTCTTCAAAATAACTTCTAACTAAACACTTCCATCTAAGTAATTTGAACCCATTTTGTAATTATGATTTTAAATATCACAGATTGTAAGCAGCTGATGAGAACCGACGAAATACAATGAATTCATGTTATTCTTCTAGAATCTTTGTTCTTGTTCTTTTCAACATGTGAATGCATTATAAATAAATAATGCACCTGCAAAAACCCCAAATTTCACTAAAATTTGTTATTCACGTAATAATAATGCAATTCTGGTGCCAAGCCTACCTTTGATACACGAGCACAGACTATGTGTGATAGAAATCCATTGAAAAATCAAATGATTTTTTCGTCAATATGTTTTCTGTAATGTGGACGTAAACAGTTCACTTTTATTAGAGTACAGGAAGTTCTCTTATGAACAAGTTAACGACAGGTTTGTGATTTTTTCAAGATTTAATGTTATGTAACCTGTGCCTAAGTTGTGCGTAAACTTTAAAAAAATATATCATTCATATATTCCACGACTACTAAAATTGTTTTGATCTATTTAATGTATAGCATTTTGTAATTGTTTTATGTATATTACCTAATTCGCCTTTTTACATTTTATTAGGTTCATTTGCATGAGATTTCATGTTTACTCAGAGAAGTAATGATATGTTTAGGCCGGTCTGCGAAATCGAATACATATTTCCTCATAATTTAATGTTCTAACGCTTTCCAAACAAGGAGGATGGTGTAATGCTACAATTATTTTAAAATCATCATCTGATCATATGCTGTATGGTATTTCAAGGAAATTGGTCTTAGTGTTTTTTGTTTTTACGGAATTTGTTGTACATGTCTTAAATCTAACGGTTAGTCATAATGCATCGATCCCGACTACAACTGAATCAAAGAATTTGCGTGTGCTCTACCGTTTTTACAAGCCTGATAATCTTGATTTTGTGTATGTCGCAAGTGTGAATTCAATTAGACAATTTAGTGTTGATAAACTACAGCTTGTTGCAGAACGTATTACTGGTCCACATAACTTCTCCATCTATTGTCTATCGAATGGTGATAGCTGTGAAAAGTGTATGCATATAGATCGGTCATCGTTTTCCTTTGGTTATGGTGCTGATTTCTGTCTCCCCCATCCAACTAACAACTATGTCAAAGCATGGGGTACTTCAGGTTTTCCAGGCCCCGAAATACATAGTTTCAACTACTCTGAGTGGGATCATGAATCTCATTTCGTAAATGATGACAGAATAACCTTCGAAGATGGCTTATATGTATGCAATACTGTCTTTCATGGATACTGTGAAAGGCTAAGTTTGATAAATGTCAGTCAAGAATCCCCATGGTCAATCGGTACAAGAAATCCACTGATAGACAAGAAAAGTAAAAACCCACAAGAAATACCAGTTGTTGGATCTCTTCCCTATACACATTCTGTTCTAGTTGTTGGTTCAGAATATATTTATGTGGGCACAGAGCCTGATGGACTCCAAGAACACACGCTCATTACATTTGATCCACTGACTGTGCGACTAAAAAACTTTCACTTATGTAGTACTCAACCTAGCTTTGAAAGCAGAGCGCAGTTGTCAACAAATCCGAGCTTACGAATACAATACAAATCTGCTTTCCGATACAGATCAATGCCAACAAATTTGGAGTTCCAAGATCAACTGTTTAGACCTGCTTATGTATATTTCGTTCTTCAGCAGCCTGAAAGTTCACCTTTTTTCCGGTGGCAATCACGAATAGCTCGAGTGTGTGACGGAGATAAGTTTATTTCCTCTTACGTTGAACTGAATATAGCATGTTTTGAGTGTATATTTGAAGGTGATGAAAAAGTGAGTATTCATCAATTTTTTATATAAACGAAGTCATTTTTTGAAATGTATAACTCATCAGATCTTTATCAAAGTAATGTAAAATTTGGATAATGTCATACGAAGACGAAGATTATCAGAATTATGTGATATGTTAGCGTAATGCACGACGAACAGTCTGATCATACATATAATCTAAAATTGTTGTGCATTGACTTTAATAACTTGCAAAAATGATCGCTTAGAACGTACAATTGATCCTATATCCGGCAAGATATAAATAAAATCTTTGATGATCTAGATTATGACGTAGCATTTTCTGGAAAATAGAGTTAAGTACAGAAAAATTATTAACAAACAGAAATGCTTAAGGTAGAGGCCAATACTGTTGATGGTTACAAGCCTTGCAAAGTTCTCGATGTATAGAAGTAATCTAATCAGACTATCCGAGTGGGCCCTTTTTACACTACTATAAACTAATGTTAAAATTTAGTTACTAAACTCATATAGGTCCCCACACTGAATAGTTTTGAACAGTAGGTTGCATGATTTTATTATCTGTTTTACTTTTTCATTCTGTATCTCCCAACAAGGTCTGTTAATTAGCTAGATCATAAGTAGATATATTTTATTCTTTGAATTTCAAATCTATCTGCTTTGTATGATTTAACGATTGATAACTGATAGAAGTTGACCGCTTTCAAATTTTTGACTGAACTGTCAATTTTGGGAATATAGGTATACTTAAAAAATTGGTAACCTGTTGATAGTCTCATTTTAAATGTTCATTGCACTCTTAATGACCTACTGCAGTATTGATTTTCCCCAAATAAATATGTTGGTTGCTCCAGTTGATTGAGCGGTATCGTTTTGGTCATATTTCGTAACCAAACAGGGAAAGATTTGTCATCCCTACGATTCAGAACAGAATGTAATGACTATGTCGTTTGTATTTGCTTTATTTGATTGTCTTAGCAGTTCCCAGTCGTCTCCTACTTCTACCAGAATAGTATACCTAAACTCTCTGTAAATAAGTGGATAACGCGTTAACATTCGAAACGAAAGTTACTGGATCTGAATTTCAGAGTGGTAATCAACTTTGAGATGCAGGTACACCCAGCTGACGACTCTCAAATAGGACGAAATACGAATCCTGGATACCTGATAATATTTTAAACCAATGATTTGGATGATATTAGTTACTCAGTTCAGTGAGTTATGATGAATCACTTGATCTAAGCCTGGTAAAATATCCTAAACTCCACGGCATCGCACCATAAACAGTCTACTTTTCCAAGTTTTCCATCTAGTCTCTGTGGTGATAAGCAACACTTGGTATATAAGCCCCTGTAATATCCATAAAATGTCTTAATTACCACAGCAAAGGTTGGAATATGACACTAATTGAGTGATGGTCTCCATTATTCCAAACTCACGTAAGAGCGCGACATTAAATTAATGGTATTACCACAAGAAAATGCTGTGCACACGATGATAATTTCGCATATTATTTTCAATTACTGTCATTTTGGATAAGCTAGGTTTCATAAACATGGTACGAAACTATGTGAAAGAAAGCGATGTACATGAGGTCTCTCATAGTCGTCAGGCTAGCGTTGTAACGTCACAATGACTCAGACCGACATATACCTTACTGGCTTTCAATATAAAAGATTAACCTTGTCTACCATACAGCTATTGAAAGAAAGTACAACATCACTAAGTATACTAAGTGAATAATTTCTTGTATCACATAGTTGTTTACAATTACAATAGCTTTACAACTTCCAGTTCTTTAACAATTAGTAATCAGTTCATCTCTTACTCACTTAGAGGGGAAGTCATTACTTCTTATAGTTTAACATTTTCAAATATTTTCATCTTTATTCTTTTGAAATTATTATAACTTTTTGTATAAAATCACACTTTCATTTGATTCGCTTATTTTGAACCTACGTGAACTAGTCACGTGAAACCATTTAGAGTTGTTGTTTGCTTTGAACGAATTGATTTGCTTATAAATCATACCTGTGCCAAATCGATTTTGTCAAAATTGATTGCTTATTCTAAGATAGACATATCTTCATCTAGCGTTTATATTCGTCAATTAATCAAAAAGTACCCGTGTCAACATATAATCTCATGGTTTTGTAATAATATTTAACAAGTGAGCTTAGTTAAAACGATCATTTTTTGTTCACTGACCCAGACTTTGACTTGACGTTGAAGTGGTTTTATTTTGACTCACTATAATGTCTGCATAAATTATGGGTTGAACATTCTTTAAACAAAACTGATCGTTTACTCTCCTATTCTAATAATTTTCACTCTGATGGAAGATTCATGAAGTGATTCTTGGTCACAGTCATCTGTTATTTCTTTGTTTTGGTACTGAATACCGTCTGTTGAAAAATTTCGTATCGAAAATCTCTGTATTTGAAGTTGATAGTTCGTCCATTTTCTATATTAGTCATTGATTATTTCAAGATTTGACAAGTTGTTTGTAAACAACTTCAGTTTAAAATGCAAAGATGATGTATTATTACAGAACACTAATTGTCACCGATCCAATCGAAACTATCAAGATTTGTCGTATCTGTATTTCTCCTACAGAGTCCGTCAGAAAACCGTGTTGTATTCTCACAGTTGTTTAATTACTATTTCAGAGGTATCACTGCATTGGAAATGTATTTTGATAATAAAAGAGAAGTTTGACTTATTAAAACTTGTACCATTTGCCAGTAAATGCATCTTAATTCAACTTACATTTTCTGATGAATTTTATCAGTTATCTTGTAAAATTGTAATGTAAGTCTTTATTCCAAATATTGAGACATCCAACTGGCTATAATAAACTTGCTGTACGCAGAAATTAAACTTGACCCTAAATATATGGTCAAACAACGGTTTTTCATTGTTATAAACTTTAAAACCCGAAATTAATTGCATAGTTGAGAAATTTCAAGAAAATTATAAAATCGTTACTTACTTGGGTAACAAAAATATACTTATTTCCTTGACATTTCACTGCAGCGGTTTTTATAGGAAAAACTGGTTTATCTTATAATTAATGTATAATTTCATATAACAAGCTTGACCAAGTTAGAAAATCAGGATTTTGTCTTTTTTTTCATGAATACTGACAAATTTTTAATTGTAGTCATATTACTCAACATCATCTCTTCGGACAGTACTTCAAAACTTGTTGAATAAATTCTATAATTAAAACATTTCGTGTGTTAAGTGACATTAGGTGACTAATTATATCTTAATATAACTTTAAGTTTAATTGGTAGGCTAACAACCTGTTAGCATAGGCCTCTCTAAGTAGATTTATTTAAAAAAATAAGCATTTAGTCAAGGATAATGTTTACAACAGTTCTCCATAACAAATACGGTGAAGTACTGAAATGTTAGAGATTCTTTCACCTATGTGGATGCTTTTAATTGTGTTATGTTCTCTAAGTTGATGACTTTTTCAAGGGCAAAAATACAAGAAAGGTTTTTAGAACAGCTCTTGCTTTTTTTATTAAAGACAAATCTGTGGATAACACTGTTGGTTATATAATGTTTTCCAAATTTTGAGACACAAATTATAATACTGTAGTTTTATTAAAAAATGAGTTTTATCAACCAATAAGAGACAAGAATAAAAACAATCAACTCTTATAGTTGCCGAATGAAACGAGTAATTTTTAAACGTATAATAATTAATTTTTATAACTCAATGTAATCTATTTGTTTTTATGTTATAGATGTTTAACGCATTACATTTCTCTTCACGTGGTACTGTTGGGAAGCAGTTAGCTAGAGAATTATTAGAAAACTTTCAGTCCCAGTATGATGATAATTTGTATTCTAAAATTGATATAACTACTAATGATCATTCTGAAGTTCTTATTGTAGCGTTTGCTTCACAACCTATTGACCCTTTATATTACTGGTCTACACGCAATGTTAGTCCAGATATTGATTTGCCGAATGTTCAATACAATCCTGATTCATCATATCGACATGGATCAATTTTGTTGCCTGGTTCTGCTATCTCCTTATTTTCTATGACACAGGTACAATTTAAACCATTTTGATCTTTATGTACATCGTTTTCATAAAAACAAAATAACTGATGCTCCGTTTTTACTTAATTATTCGTAATCTTTCGAATTAATGTTCTGATATAGAAATATCTCTTGCTTTTTTTCGAGTTTTTATGAAAACGTATACCTAGAATAACATTTTTTTCTGATAATTCGTAGGCGCCCATACTAATAAACGACAAATAATTATTTGTAATGGGAGTCCGGTATAATGTGTCTTTCAACATCCCAATAACCAAGTTCAAATTATCGTACTAGTGCTTTTAATGCACCACTGTTCTATGAGGATAAGCAAACAGGAGAAGCATGATTCAAGTCCATGAGCTGACATTTGGAAGGTGGACACTGAAATACATAATCTACAGTTCTATTCTCTTTATGTCTATTTCTTGTATCTACTTAATATTGCATACAATTATTAAACCTTGTTCTAAAAACTGAATAAAACATTCAGAATGACTGATTTAATATTAAAATTTTCCGAACAACAATTTATATAAAAATATTCATATGTGTTTCGTTTTACTGAAATTCATTACACTGATCAAATACGGAAACGGAGACTAGAAATCAATATTGTCACAATTAGTAATTGTCCACCATTTCAAGTCGAAAGAAATCTTATAAAAGATTATTGGGTGTAGAGACTTTTGGAAGAAATTGCGAACCTATTTTAAACCATATAGCTTAGGGTTTTAAACCTATCAAATATTTAAACTTTGATCAACAGAGTTGTTTTCAATATGATTATATTCCATAAAAGTTCTAGATTCTGAAAAAATACAACTCCGATTGGTGTTGGAAAACATCCTTCAATATTTGTTATGACAAAATACCACAAGTAGTTACTTAGGTCATTTTATCATAGTTTGTTCTTCATTTTCTCTTCAAATAACCTCTTCTACTCATCAGTATGATGCTATATGTAGTCCGGTTGAAATTTTGTCCAAATGCATATAAATCATTGTTTATTTAAGAAGAAATTAAAGATGCTTTTTTCCCTTTATAATGTAGATTAATGCCAAATTTGATCGTGTCGTTATGAATTGTTTGGACGGCATTGGAATGCATGGACCGTCACATTTTCTACATTCTGGAAGTAGCGGAAATTCTAGATGTGTTAAAGATGATTATTCTGTAAGTAATAATATTTATTTTCCCCTTAGTTTCTGTTTGTGATATAAATTTTCTTTTTCATATATATAAATGGGCAATTTGGAAGGATAATAACTATTTTATTTTGGTATCTTTCATTGTTTTAAATTTTTTATGCAGAGGAATTTGATCCGTGATTGTCCTAGTAGTCGTCAACTCAATCAATTTATTACAGGGAATGATCCAGACGATGATATATATTCTCCAGCATTGTTGTACTTCAAATCTAATGTTACCGGTATGGCAATAACCGCTGTATCACAGGAATTCACAGTTGCAATATTTACAACAGATGATGGCTATCTATACAAGGTATTTTTTCTGTTTAACTAATTTGTGTGAATATTAGCTAACAACATAAATATTTCACCTTTTATCAAGCAATTCACTTGAAGGCTTATTTTACATTTGATAGTCATGCAATAGTTTCAAATTGTAAAACAGATATTGCTGTGACCACATTTCCAATGTTATTGTTTGTTCAGTAGTTCAAATTAATGCAAAATCGTCACATTGAGTCAATCGACGATTATTTTCTCCTACTGTCTTGCTTTTCGCTCTGGATGACTTATTGTTTCCATCGGTGGTATTTGTCATGAACCGACCTCAAATAAAGTACCATTTAAGACCAGATACTGAACAGTCGCTTTTTCCTTTTATAGGAGTCCTCGAAAGTGTCATTTACGACCCGAGGGGATTAAACCCAGAACCATCAGTGCTCTCAGTGACTGTTTATCTACTAAGTCATTAAGTTAGCATACGATTAATTTGTGATATCTCGTGATAATTATTCAACTCAGTTGGTGTTAACTTTTCCATTCCCTGCACATATTTTTGGTTGCAAGTTCATTGCATAGGAACATCAATGACTTATTTTATTGCTATTATTTAAATAATGCTAGCTTAACTTATTTAGGTCTTAGTATCTCCCTTATGGCGAAATTTCTTTTCTGATTTCCTTTTGATCCATAGTATGAGCTTCTTGGTCTTCGCAAAGTACATCTTTTAGGATCTTTACAACTGGTTACAAATGGCCAACCAATAACAAGCCTAGCATTGGACCACACTGGGACAATAGCTTTTGCGACATCATTTCAAAAGGTTATTTCATCCGATCAAATTTCCTTAACTCATTTTATTTAGTATTTCATGTTAAACTTATGATGTTATCAGTTTTACAGTTTATTATTTTGATTACTAGGTTACTTGCTTGATAAATAACGTATTATTAAAATATGGTATATTGCTATATTTGTTTACTTATTCCTTAGGTAACTTCATTTTGACTATTGTTAATACTACTGTGATTTACTAACTATATATATACAGAAATATTAATTAATATTTGTGCCCTGTTAAAGTAAATAAATTATTTGATGCCATATTATTAGATAAAATATTTTAAATATTTCGATTTTGGTCTTTAAAAACCTAAAGGGAACTTCTTTACTATAGGGATTTATGAACATTATCGATTTTCATAATTTATATCGTAGACTGATCTTACTTAGGACACTATTAAGAACTACCTAGATCGTCTCAGTATGAGACTCTTCAGTAGAGCGCACCTACGACCTCGCCGGGGGTTAAACCCAAGACTATCATGTCGCGCTATGGGTTTTGAACCCTTAAATCACTAAGTGATCATCCATTAGTGTACTTGTATGACTTCAATCATTTCGCAACATTATGCAACCATCTTTCGATGACGTTGATGTGTAGCTCTTTCACACTATCGTTTTTCTTCAATTTAATGAACAAGGTGGTTAGTATTTCTTGGATTATTCAAGATCTCTATCTGATAAGATAAATAAGGTCTCATTTCTGTTCAACATGGTCCATCCTGAATATGGTTTACAAACAGACAAAAATCACAATTAACATCTAAAGCTGTTATGGTAATAACTGGAATTAAAAATTAAAAAAATATATTAGACTAATGTTTTAAGTAACAATGAAATACTTAACATATTCGCCTTTTCAAAGAGAACACTTTGTGATATTTTTTCAGCGCTAGCTTTTTATTTGTTAATCGAGGGGTTTAATTGCAGATTTTTCATAAATTATATGCTTCTTGTGATATGATCCATCTTTTTTCAAGTTGACAAAAATTTCACTTTTATTTAGTGTACAATTAAAGTGTAACTTATTCGGAAATCTGGTTTCGTAATTTCGATTTTTGAGGAAAATAGGGGTTAAATTCATTTCGACATTAAACAGACTACAGCTTCATGTACACCTTATTTAAATGTGATACCTATAATTATTATGCTGTTTATTTATTACTAAACAGTGTGTTAAAGTTGTTTCCTAATCAGGTTTAAGTTGATTATTTTCAATATTATATTTTTAGGTTTTTCGCATTGAGTTATTCAACTGTTCAGCGTACTTAACATGTCAGTCATGTTTAAAGGCTCGTGATCCTTATTGTGGTTGGTGTATAGCAGAAGGTCGTTGTTTACTGTTTCACCAATGTCCTTTAGTAATGTCTCGTGTAAAAATACTTAATGATCTCAAAAAGAAACGATCTCCAAACAGGTATGCTGGTAGCGAATATTCCGCATTGGATCGAGTTTATTGGTTACACTATAATACCTCTACCAATAAGTAAGTTATTTCTTCATGTAACAATCATTACAACTCTCTTGCTTTCCTTTTCTTTCTTTCTTTCTTTCTCTCTCTCTCTCTCTCTCTCTCTCTCTCTCTCTCTATATATATATATATATATATATATATATATATATATATATATATATATATATATATATATAATTAGTTATTACTCATATTTAGCTTCAAATTATGTCGTATGATAAAAACTGATCATTTTTTTGAAATTCAACTGGTTAGTTTCCGTTTCAGAAATTTTAGGAAATCTGCCTCGGTTTTATCATTTAAATCTTGTAATTCTTATTCATACAACTGAGTGCTGCTACGAGTATGAAACCAGTTATTACTTCACGGTTCCCCACATCCTGGAAGAATACTTCATGAGTTATCTAAAAATATCTAGGTTAATGATGATCTTGACTACCTAAGAGCGTAACCTCAGAGCCCAAAGGACAGCTACGTGAAGTCGGTTACATACAGCCTTTTTGATTAGTTTTAGACGATCTAGCTCTCTACTCTATGATCTTATCTCCGGAGACAAAAATCCGTCGAGCAAGGAGACGTGAACTACCCCTAAGGTTGGTCTTTTCTAGCCTCTTTTTTCCATTATAAGTAGGCAGCATGGTTGCGGATATTGGTTGTCTGAGGAAAACACCTTAATACTGTCACAGCCCTATGCAATCCGCAGTACAATTTCAACCTCAGACCACGAGTTTGCTGCTTTTAGTCATATCGCTTTCCAACTGACCTAGTTGACGCGATAAGATCTAAATGAACAACTGCTCCAGTTAATATACTTCAACTGTGTCATCATGATATGGAATCCTGACCACCTTGTCAAGGTAGGAGCTACAGTTGGGATTCATATAAAAGTTATAAACTACCTTTATTATTTTTGTGTATTGCTATCACTAGTTTGAATCACGTCACGTTTAATCCTTATTTCTTTTGTATTGTCTTGTTGAAATATTCGATTATAGAATATCGGTTCATATGTTAATTGCATACCATTGTATATAATGAAATAAATCATCAATAAGTCCACATTATTAACTGATTATCTGAAACTATTGGATTCCTCCATAAAACAATATAAGCACTAACTAATTTCACCAAAAATGCACAATAAGTATGGAGCAATCTGCTTTGAAGAACCAGTAGACTCCTAAGTTATGAAACGCTAATTAATATAAACGTTTTCTCGTACTGGTTGGTGGATATGGAGGATCCACCTAGGGTATATATATATATATATATAAGGACGAATCGCCAATTCATGCTTCTTGATGATGTGTGAATTTGTAATTCAAACGTTTTTCACGTGCAAAATTGCAACAATTCTTTGTCAATAACTGAGAAAGTTTAGGTCTGCAAAATGTTACCATTGTAAAGGAGGTCATTAGTAGGAAGAATCTATATTGTGAGAAGTTACAATGTACTTTCATAATATATATACATAACATTTGGTCATCCATTTGCATTTTTTAGTGTGTTTCGCAATCTGAACTGTCTTCTCGTCTGGTTTCCAAGTGTCCTGCCTACACCGTGCTTTCGCTGTACTGAAAATCTCACTGTTACAGCTTTGACCTTATGTTCTGCTACATAATACTTCCAAACAATCTTGTAGGTAGTGTCCACCACACTAGTCTAATGACAGATTTAGACTAACTTTCCATACTTCCACATACACACACAGATACTGTTGCTGAATTAACTTATCTTGATTATAATTTCAGAAAATTTCTAAGTAACATAAATAAAAACAAATTGACTCAAACTGAAGACATATTGTCTAAACATTTCGTAGATGTGCTTAAAACAGTTTATGCCTTAGATAATCCAATGACAAAGTGATGTTTACTAGAACTATGATATATACTGGCCTTAATATGTTTCGTAAAGTGATCACACATCAACTTAGATACTCAACTATGAGAAATGAGAGTCAAACTAAAATATAAGGAAAAGTGGAGATAATAAGGAGAAAAAATATAAATCACACCATTTTGAATATTAACATCAAATCAGTATTACCAGGGTCGGTTTGATAGTGCAAGTATACATTATTCTGAATAGCCAAAGGGGTTGAGTTGTTTTATTACTAAAGCTTCAACGAACCTAAGCATTCGCTCTAGTCAAATTTGATACTAAATAAGGAAGCGTGGGTTAAAATCGGCCGTTAGGCCGATTTCAGTTATATGGGAATGAAGGAAGATGGGCTTTTGTCGTTTGTTCCTGTTGGAGCATTGAACTTTGTTTTTGTAGCCATTTAAGTACATATTTAACCAGCTTTATTCGCAAGTCATGATTACCTCGTAATATTTATGTATGTCTACATGCAAGTAAATTGGTAAACACAACGGGATATAACGCTATCACTTAAATACTACGTGATTATTGTTTTTACAATAATAATGGCCTTGACCGAATAGTACATGCTACTGATGACTAGTATGAGCCGTCGTTAGGCCACAATGCTCTTCGACTTACATTTGAATGACAGAGTAATGCAAATATTCTTTTTAGATGTCAGAAGCAAAGTGGGTCTTTAAATATTACTTCGGCTTTTTCATCTGTTTATAAATTTCAAAAAAATTCCATTTAACAACTTCGCTTCAGACTTAACTTCAAGGCTAAATCCAGTAGATTTACTAAGTACTATTTCTAACATTTCTATTTTGCTTTCATTCAGAATAATAATTTTTTTAATTGTCCATGATTATTGCATGATGCAAGGATGTATATAGATTCTGATTTATGTGGCTGTTGCCCGTTTTATATTTATAACAAATGGTCAATCATTAACATGTTCAGTCATCAAATGATGACCACTTTTCCCTATATGCTGGCGTGGAAAAAATACGTTTACGGCAGTTATGCTCTATTATTTCTTGTGAGCGTCTTCCGAATTCCTTGAATGGAGTTATTTTTTATTTTTTTTTATTTCACCACAGATGCCCAGTAATTAGACAAGTTAGTCCGCCTGGTATGCAAATAAGTATAACCCCAACGGTTACTTATGCAAAGGAGAACAGTCAGTATTATCAGCAAAATATAATTCTGAGCTTGGATTCATTTCTTTCACAGAACCTCCCTAATTCTGACTTTCCAGAAGAATCTCTTTCCAGAAATCAACCTCATCAAATAAATTCCTTTGACGATTTCGGGAATTCCCATCATCCATCATTGGATAAAAGTAGTATTGCTACGAGCTCACAGTTGTTTTGCAGTTTTCGAGAAGCACCAACATCAGTTCTTCAAATGGAATCCTTGATCTCTGGAACTATTTCTAATTTTGATTTAAATAAAATTTTGTTGAATGTTACACGTACACCACTTCTCACTAGAACTGTTGCCAAGTTGTTTTACTCGTCTGGAAAACCTATAGAAGCGCACTGCTTGTCTCCAGCCACAACATCACGATTACCTCAACTTGAGGATGATAAAGGTAAGTGAAAAACGTTTTAAAGCTACGATTGCTGTAACTTTGGTATCATGATCGGACAATTCCCTAAAAGTCCTGAAATTTCTCTGTTTTATGCAATTTCGGATAACTGAATGGTGAAATAAAGTTAATTTGCTAAATATCATTTTGGTTTGGGATAAGTGCGCTAGTATATTTAAATTTTCTGACTCATAATGATTTAACATACTTGAGGCCAGATTCGAATAAGGCAAGAAAAATTGAGCGCATTCGGACATCGCTTAGGGTAAACTCATCATCATCAAGCTCAGCAAGAAAACAACGGTGATCACCATCTCAAACTAGTCATATTATCTAACCTAAAAGTGAAATTTTGCCCCGTCTAACCAAACAAGTGCACCACTAAAGTCTGTTTACTTGAACTCAGGGAATCGTGTAGTGAACTACGTAAAATTCTTATCTTGTAAAACATTGGATAGTGTTCATCTGAGATGTCCACTACCATGGATCTAATCGAAAGTTTCTGTTACATCAGAGATAAAAGTGACTCTATTCACTGATGAATTCGGAAATTCATCTTCTATTTAGATATATTTTTTTGTTAATGTATATTATTCTTTTCAAACTATAGTTTATAATGTCTAAGGTTAAATTATCATTCAAAATGCATAAAAACGGTTCTATTCTTTGTCTTCTTTTAAACTTTGAATACCTTTCATATTTCTGTTGCCTATTCATTCACGTTCCTGTTTGCTTATTTTTACGTTTCATTGTTATTAATCATTTGGCTGCGTTATTCCAAGTGTAATAACTTAATGCATTTAAGAATTGTTTAATATTTCACATTATTAATCTTCTTACAAGAATATATTCATAAGTGTACTTTCTTACCAGTAAAATAACCATGTTTAGGATTTAATCTTCTTTTGTCTGTTTATCACTATAGTAGAACTTCAAAGTGTTTGTATGAGTGTTTCAACTATTTCTACCTAATCTGTATACATTGAAGTTTTCAAACATATACATAAGGAATTAGATGGCACTTAATAGATTTTTTATCCAAAAGCTCTCATCCCTACTAAAGCAATATTAAGAAAGTTCTCGTTGATATCCTTTGTTGTTAGGATGAAGTGTATGAGTATTATTTCTGCATTGTCTGTATTTTCAAAAGAAAATATCCCTGTACTACTGATGTTATTAATGACAATATGGGTGAACCTGACCACAAATATTCTATATGAGTAGTTGCCTAATTTGTATCATTTTTTAGATCAGTCGTAATAGTTCATATTAATTTAAAGTTAACCTGATTGACCATTTTGTTTGAAATATTTTCCGCTTACAGCTTCTCTACCTTTGTTATTATGGTTAGAAAAAGTAAGAACAACTGATGTAGATCCTGATAATGTTGGTGCACTTGCACCTGCTTTATTTGCTATTTATAATTGTTCTCAACTTAAAGATTGTCAGTCTTGTACACGAAGTCGTTTTGTATGCGCTTGGTGTTTATTTGAAGATCAATGTGTTCCCGTTTTTCCAACATTATCACCAGATGGACAAATAACAAATAGTGTGTGTAAAGATTCTTCTCATCTTTACTCTAAATCTTATGAACAAATTAATCCTCCATTTGGTATTATTCCTCCTGGTCATGTAAGTAAATGGCCAAAATTTATTCATAGTTCCTAATGTTTGTTTGCAACGATATTCACATATATATATCATGTTTAAAATGCCTAATTATCGACTCAAATCACGTATTCGTAAATTCAAAACCAACTTCATAGCACACTTTTTGAGCTACGTAACAAGTTACAGATTCTCTAATAAACAAACGCAAATAGTTAGAACTGTGCTAAACGAGTATATATAAAAAAATAGCACTATATACCTTGATAACATTTGTTTAAATCTTATTATTTTCTCTACTTCTCACACCATTTGTAGAAGTTGGTTTGGATTTTCTTGTATGATTTTCTTAAAGTAAATATAACTATATTATTGAATGAATATGTCAAGAATTATTCGGGAAATTCACATTTATGTTTATTGGTTAACAAAGGCTTAATGGGAATCAAAATACTTTTAAATTCTATGAGTTCTAAGCCATCTATACGCCTAATATCATTAATTAATGGGTTATTTAGGTTGATTTCATCACCTTTCCAGCTCAGACTACTATGTATTGTTATTTCCTACGTGATCCGAAAATCTCAATGTGATAACATAGAAGATTCACAACGGAAGTTCATACTGTCACCAACAATCGTTTTAACCCAGCCCTCAACAATTGAGGAAACAAAAAAAACGAAGACATTTTCCTAACAATAACCAGTGATAAAGGTGTCAGTATTTCTAAAAAAAAGTACCGATATATTTTTAAGACTCAACCAATAAAAGTGTCTGTCTCAGGACTACAGATTCAACCTTATGCACGCTATTTAAAAGTTCCAGAATCTTTATAGAATAACTTTTCTCTAATTCTGATCGAATTTCAGGGAAATACTGTACTTCTCAACATTATTTTGCTAGTTAAAATTTAATTGGCACTTGTTTATTCCCTGTTATTCTCGTAACTTTATCACTTCTTGGATTTGCAATAGGCTGACGACTGTCCAAGTTTCAAGGGGTCTCCCCAAAGAATCACATTGACTAGTGGTTCATCGCTTACTGTTAACTTCTATGTTTCGAATGTTCAGGTATGTAAATTGTTTCTCACTTGTATGTGGTTACTCTTAATGATCTGTGTTACTTTATCAAGATTGTAATCGTTTTCTGCATCACATCATAGGACACTTTATACATTCTTTAAATGATAAGAATTCATTGGACTGTTATCAACTGTTTTTATTTTTAATTACAATTGCCCAGCTCCACTGCTGTTATTTTATTTTGAGCTATTAATTATTGTTTCCTTGTTACTAACCTTAAAATAATAAGAACTAAAAAATTTATTCATTCTATTGCATTAAGAACCTGTGATCATAACTTTCAGTGTATTTGGTTACTTTTATCGGTTGCGTCCAATTGCTTAGGAGATATTTATTTTTATTAACTATTTTGGTTGTTACATCTCCGATCTTGTTGGTAATTGTTTTACTTTCTAAGATAATATAAATCCATTTGGGAATATAAATTAAAGATTTTATTCTGTCAACTGGATAAAAAGTATAGGTCAAACAATGAAAATAGTCAACAAGTTTACAAAGAGAACATTTTTTTATACTAATGATCAATGGCTATTAAGATAGACCAATGTTTATGAAATATTATGCCTCAGATAATTTTATTGTAATGATCGCAGTTGTTAGCTACTTAGTACCATCTTGCTAAGCTTCAAAACCTGTTCAATTAATAAAAGTCGGTAAATATTTTGTACCATATTTGTAATATTAGTTTTAATTTCGATTGGTTTTTGTGAAGGTAAATAGTCGTTTCACCAAAATCTGATTCAGTTTTGATCAGAAATAAACAGTAATATAATACACACTCGTTCTGATGAAATATTAACTGTGTCACTGATATACCTTTTAACAGTATAAATTAATAAATCTTCCCTGCTTCTTGGTTTATTGAATTCGCCTGTAATAATGTTTTCTAGGATTTATAATATTTTTATTCCAATCTCTAAGATACTCTGATCTTGTTAACTATAAATGTTAGTTCTCTACTTTAATGTTCAATTTATTAAAAGAAGCACATCAGTTTTAAAAACAAATATTAAGTAATTACTGGTAATTAACTTATACGTATTTAGCAATGTCTTTTATGTTAATAGCTAATTTTCGTTTGTCATCAAATTATAATTCTTTTATAGAAACAACAAATTGTTGGATTTAGTTGCTCAGAAAACTGTACAAATCAACACGTTCGTGCTTCATTTAACCCATCTAATTCAACCGTGTTCTGTCATATAGAAGTGGTATGATTTATTTATTTATTGTCTTTTATAGCAAATTTTTTTATCAAATTACAAATACAGTGTATACTGTAAACATTTTAAAGACTTTTTTTCGTAGAGCGAAAAGATTTTTATTTAGATAGCTCCATAGTACTACTAAATTTTTTATCGATGGGCATTTAAATGGACGAATTAATTATCATCCTTAATCCAACTGCATAGAATTTTAGAAGATCTTTACTTTGTTCGATTCCACTGTATAGATAATATTCTGTTGATCATTAATCCAATTGAACTCGTTGACAGCTTAATGTTTATTAAACATTTTAATTTAATTTATCGATGTATGTTTTGACGGTTTTTGTTTTGGTGGTATTATCAAGCATCATTTGTTTTTATCTTTCATTCTCAGTGAAGTCAGCTTAATATTAACAAAGTGGATTATCAAGTTATTTGCCATAGTGTAGATGTTTGATCAATGGAATTGAGATAAACCAAAGAGTGAGTGAGAAAAGGCATTTAAAAATCCTCGTTTATTTGACATCAACAATTTATTTGGCATTTAATTACAAATACGGCTGTGAAGCTTCAGCAATTAGTATCGTCAGAAAGAATATCTCTTTGAATTACTTTAGTATTTTTTTAATATCACGATGAGTTCTCGTTATGATTGAGTGAATAGCTAAATAATTTTCCGTTACGCACATTATTTCCAGTAAGATATCCAGTTGTAAATAATCTTGGTTGATTAAGTGATGTCCTGTTCTCATGAGTTTGTACTTACTGTGTTATACTAGCCTGTTAAAAGTATATTATTTAACAAAACTTAATACAATACAACAAATGGACCTATTTTCATGTCTTACACTAGATATATTTAACCAATTTGTTTTTTTACCTACTTCAGTGTAATTCCGTTGCTTGTTTTTGCGATAATGCAAACTTATTACTCTACTATTTGAATATGAGATACAATCCTCATTTCATCATATTCTCTGTACTACCCACCCTTTTATTATCAACACTTAACTGTATTTTATACTTTGTCCAAATTTTGTAATCTACCAATCATTAGATGAATCTGACCGAACACTTAAGTACTCGTCTGCTAAGTAACAATGATATCCAACGATCACATGATACAGCTGTAATTTGTGGCTTAGATCTTTATTGGCACGGATTGAACAGTCGTGATGCAAAAGGCCATCGTATGGTTAACGAAGATCAAGTTCAAGGTCAGTTACTTTGTTTTATTGGTTTTAAAACATTGTTGATTAAAACAGCGCACAGGGTAAAATCCATACCGAAATTCTATGTGGTTTGTTTTGGATAATTAATTTTTTAGTTATTTCATGCCCATAGATTTATTCGTATCCATTTTCTGGGTCATATTTCTGGCAAAATGAGTTGCATGTAACAGTAGTATGTACTCATTATATTATTTTCTGATATAAGCGTTATACAAACAAACCACGTATTTTCTATGTTCAGATGAGTGTGATTTCAAATGTTTGTGAACAGCTTACCACCTAATACATAAACTAACATTGACTGGTTACTTCTGTGTTTTAAAAAATATAATATCCTATAACTATTGTGTCACTCATACGTTTGTTCTTTTCCTATGTTTTGGTTTCAGTGGAGGTTTATGCATGTGAATGGTTGGCCGAATACTGTGATGAATGTTTAGATCTTCCTCCCCGATTTGGTTGTGTCTGGTGTGTTTATGCTCAGGAAAATATCCATATTAATGACTACGAGAATAAAAACATACTAAATGAAGGCAAATGTCGTACTCAGAATTCATGCGTTACACGTAAATATTTCAATGGTTCTACAGCTGTACGTCAGCATTCTTTTCGTCCGGGCGATGTATGCCCAGATCCTGAAATCCTAACTGTAAGTCATAGAGAACAGATATTTAACTTCAAATGTGTTCTCCCAGCCTTGGTATGTCTTAAATATGTTGGCTATATAAAAAACCCTACTAAGTAGCAGATATTTACCTATTGGAGTTAAATGTATTTATATTTCTGTAGTAGTTATAAAGAAAGAAATTATCCTAGTGTTGCCCTTTCCAGCCGAACTTAGTTGATGAAACAAGTAGACCCCTCTGGAGAAGAAGCGTACATAGAAGCACATAACAATCGCCGGGGCGCAACAGTTTCTTTTTGTAGTAGGTGTTTTGTTCGTTGACCTAGTTTCGTGTCCGGTGATCGCTGACCATCCATATATCACGCAGCAATCATTTATTATGCCTTTGCGTGTAGGAAGTGTCTTGTCACATCCCTTGAATGGACAGTGGTGCAGATTGTTTGCTGTTTCTAGTATGTGTTTTGGTAACTGGTGTTCGTTTGAGTTGTTGCTTGGATAGATTGTGTTTTGTGCATGTGTTGGATGAAATAGCGATATAGCCATTCTGCAGACTCATATGTTTTGTTGTGATCTGTTAATAGCCATATGTGTCGATCTGTTCGTGTAGTGATTGTAGTGTTCTGTTTGTGGTCGTTTCTCAAGTGTCTGTTAATCTCTTTAGTGTTGGCGAATAGTCGATTGCAAGGTTCGTTTTGACATTTGTATTGTGAATTCTCATTTTCGGATTAGTCTCGGATTATGTTTTTTTTTGTTTATTTTAACTTTACCCGCATTGTTTAACCAGTTCAATGGTAGTCTCCCTTGAATCTCATCGCGGTCAAGGCTTAGTTGTCGTATCCGGTTTTGTTTTGAGGCCTTTTGTTGTTGTTTGGGTCACTTATTTGAATTTTTAAAGACCGTACTTGGTGTTCTTTTTTGTAATACCTTAGCTACTCATGATTTCATTTGGAATTTTGTTTTCTTTTAATAACTTCCGTTTGGATTATTCACATTGAAATCAATTATCACCTCGCACCGCTAGGTCAAACGATGCGAGTACGCGGAACGTTATTTCTGGTCTCCTGAAACCACGCTCTAAACTATACGTAGGAGCTTTTGACGTTCGAACACTGTGCCAAAGAGGACAGCAGGCTTCCTTAGCTAGGACTTTAGAATCCCGCGCCATCGATGTGTGCTGCGTCTCCGAAACGCACATACAGGATCCGAGTAGCGTCATTCATTTGACCTCACCATGCCAAAATAAAGAACCAACTCGATTCACACTTCGTGTATCTGGAAGCCCTGATTTTGCTTCCCGTGGCCTCGCCGGCGTAGGAACAGCATTGAGTCCTAGGGCAGAACTAGCTCTCTAAGAGTGGATCCTGTTAGGATATACCAATAATTATCATGTTATGTCTAATGGTGTCCTTGGACTTTAAATGGACACTCCCTATTGGTCAGTATTTATTTCACTTGTTAAATATTGTACAAATGTTGTTTTCTATTTTATGGTACGATGTGGTTTGTTTGGTTGGTATATAAACAGAGTATGTCTGAAATATAATGATTCATAACTCAGACGCTGAGACTTGCGTTCTAGACTCAACTGGCTAAGATAGACAGGGAAGCAGGGCCTAATCGGGACTCTAGGTCGTTCGTGCGTGTTTTACGTGTCATTGATCCGATCGATAATTACGCTGCGCTTTTATATGCAGTCACAAGACACAACAGATCCCAGTAGACAGTCGTTTGTGGGCTGTCCGACTGAACGGAACAGTAAGGATCCGAAAAGATAGGGACACGTCGTCTCTGCCTATTCTCCCACTGACTGCAGCTCAGATGATGTAAAAGATGAGTTTTACAGAAAGCTCTCCGACCTTCTCCGAAAAGCTAGGCGCTCGGATGTAGTAATAGTGGCCGGTGACTTTAATGCTCAAGTAGGTAAACTAAGCGATAGGGAAAGACACCTAGGTGGATCTTATGGTGTCGTGGCTCAAAGAACAGATAATGGCGACCGTCTGTTGCAGCTATGCTCAGATAACCGCCTGTTTCTTGCAAATACTAACTTTAAGCATAAGGAAAAACATCTTTTAACATGGCGACCCCCGAATTCGTCCCAACGTTGGACCCAAATAGATCACATCGCTATCAGCCACCGATGGAGGGGCTCGATAGAAGACTGTCGCTCATTCTGGAGCACATGCCTAGATTCAGATCATGCTCTAGTGCGAGCGCGTATTTGCTTGCGTCTTACTGGACGTAGGAAAGACGCTGCAAGGAAACCTCTTAGGGCCTACTTAATGATAGTCAAGCTAAGAGTATATTTCAGGAACAACTAGGAAAACAGTTAGGCAGCCATGTATGTGATGCCCACCCCGATGCAGCATGGAATGATATCCGAAAAGCTGTGGAAACAGCAGTGATATCTGCTAGTAAGGTAAACCAGAAGGTTAGGGAGCAACACTGGATCTCAGCAGCATCTATCGCACTGATAGATGCTCGGAAACTCATTCCACCTGGCTCTGAACATAATGAAGAGCGGAGTCAGCTTAAGCGCAAGCTGACAAGAAGTCTACGCAATGATCGCGAACAGTGGTGGGTAGCGAAAGCAAGAGAGATGGAAAAGGCAGCGGCAATAGGTAATAGCAGACAATTGTTCAGACTCGTTAAGGAAACCGGAATTAGGAACCCGACCGTTAGCGAAACAATCTCAGAGAAAGATGGACATATTATTCATTCTCAATCCAGGAGATTGGATCGATGGGCAGAACACTTTAGGGATCAGTTCAACTGGCCTTCAGCCACACTTCGGTTTCCCACGATCTCTAGTCAACCTGAATGGCAAGTTAATGTAGGTCCTCCGTCCCTTTACGAAGTTGAAAAAGCCATAGGAAATCTGAAACGAGGGAGAGCAGCAGGCCCTGACAGGTTTACTCCTGAGATTTTTAAGGATGGTGGTCCAGTATTAGCAATGAGATTAACTGAGGTCTTAGGTAGAATTTGGGAACTGGACGTAATCCCATCTGACTGGTCTCAATCACTGATTGTGCCAGTCTATAAGAAAGGACAAAAGTCCTCTTGTGACAATCACAGAGGAATCAGTTTGACTAATATAGTGTCTAAAATATTAGCTTCAATAATACTTCGACGCCTAACAAAGCTCGTGAAGAGCAGATTAGAGAAAACCAGGCTGGTTTTCGACCTGGACGTGGTTGTATAGATCAGATATTCACACTACGTCAGGTTCTAGAACACAGACACACATTCAGACGCCCCACAATGGTAGTATTTCTCGACCTTAAGGCGGCATTCGACTCTGTTGATCGTGAGGTTCTATGGCAGTGTTTGTCACTGAAAGGAGTACCAAAGAAGTACATTAACCTTATAAAGGCTCTCTACTCGAACACAACTGGTAGAGTGAGAGCTTATGGCGAACTGTCATCAGAATTGATTACCTCAAGTGGTGTTCGTCAGGGCTGTCCACTCTCCCCATTCTTGTTCAACTTTGTCGTTGACGTACTTTTAGAGATAACACTCTCCTCATCTAAATTTACAGGGGTTGAACTTCTACCGGGAGGTTCACTTGTTGACTTAGAATATGCTGATGACATAGTTTTATTTGGTGAAGACGCTGACAAAATGCAGAGTCTTCTGACCACTCTAAGCAACAATGCAAGCATGTTCGGGATGCGATTCTCTCCCTCGAAATGCAAAATGTTGCTTCAGGATTGGGTTACATCGACACCCGAACTAGTGATAGGGAGTGAAGTAGTTGAGTGTGTCGACCGCTTCACTTATCTTGGAAGTCTCATCAGCCCTTGTGGTTGGTGTGTGACGAAATCTCAGCACGGATACAGAAGGCTCGACTAGCTTTTGCCAACTTGCGTCATTTATGGCGTAGGCGAGATATCCGTCTATCAACCGAAGGACGTTCCGTCCTACTTTATGGCAGTGAAACATGGCCGGTAAGAGTAGAGGATATTCGTAGGTTACTAGTATTTGATCATAGGTGTCTTCGAAATATTGCTCGTATATCATGGGACCATCGAGTAAGTAATGCAGTTGTTAGGAAACGGGTACTAGGTAAGGATGGCAAATCAATTGATGACGTAGTGAAACTTCATCAGTTGAGATGGCTGGGACACGTGTTACGTATGCCCAACGACCGACTGCCTCGACGTGAGATGTTCAGTGGTATAGGAGTAGGTTGGAAGAAAGCTAGAGGAGGCCAGACCAAAACATGGCACAAGTCCATGAAGTCACTGACAAGTGAACTGAGTCATGTTGGTAGGTGTAGACTACCTGGTTGGGGACCGCGAGATGATAGCAACCGATGGTTAGAGACCCTGAATGACATGGCTCAAAATCGTTTGCAATGGCGCAGGTGCATCCACTCTTTGTGTCCTCCCAAATTCTAATCTTCTGAATTCTTCATGTCCCTTTTTTTTCTCTTTCCAAATTTATTTCACTGTATTATACTCTTTGAATAACATCTTCAAACCCTAATTTTTCTGATTACAGCTTATAATTTTACTACATCTAGCAATACTGGATTTGAGTCGACCACTGCATCTCTGTGCTAATGTGGTGTGGCAACTCGAACTGATGTACGTACGTACGAAGTTCTACGTTGTTACTGACTGACTGAGATTTGTTCATATTTTCAATAAAATTCCTTTTACCATTCATAGTCTTTTATTTATATATTTGTAGTTTATATTTAGCTTTTTTCTCTCATTAATCACGGGACAGTTTTTCGCTGATGGCTTTTTAAATCATCATCCGCTTTCTTTGCTTTTCCTTCAACAATTAGCTTTCCCCAACTAATGCCACTTTGACAGGACAACCGATACTTACTATTACTGGTAGAAATCTGGGTCGTAGTGTATCTGATATAGTGGATGTCTTTTTGGATCTTCAATCGAAAATCCAATGTATTGTTTTACCGGAAACATATCAACGTTCACATAAATTTATGTGCAAGCTTGTTACAGCACCTCATTTATCACTTCCTGTTTCTGGCAAATTAAAGGTTGTGATAAGCAATAAACGATATGAAGTGAGTAGTGTTAATATATGGAAAAATGAATCAATCTGTACGATTAATCTTTTCTAATTCTATCAAATTATGCATAGCCTAACTACCGTGTAAAAACAATGAAATCGACTAATAAATATGTGGTGTATGCTACTTATGTCTGTCGACATAAGTAGTATGTAACCAGTCGGAAGTGAAAAACTTACCATCAGAAGACTAAGATCGAATTGAAGAGAATAGAAGGGAAAATAGAAAGGAATTATGGACTGGAAAAAATCATACAGAATGTGAAGGAAAAATAGTGGAAATTTACAAATGAAGTATTTAGTGTATGGTTCTCATATCTTACCAAGAGTTTCTTTAATTTAGTAGTTAAATGTAATTGCTTGTCCCCACCTGTGTTCTCGTCCACTACATATATATTTATGAAGTCCCTACCTACCCTACATATTAGTGCAGTCGGTTTCCTCTTAAAATAGGATGGATCACTATATATTACTTTGAATATTATTGGAATTATAGCTATTAACAAAGTTTACTTAAATGTGTTAATTTTACTCATCAATATATAGTCTGTTCATGTTCTTTGCCAAAATGTTATGTCAGGTAAATCATATTTTCTCACTTATCTTTAGGCATTTTCACCTGTTTTTCACTTCGCTGTTCCTCATTTAATACATGCCACACCTCACCGTGGACCTAAAGCAGGTGGAACACGATTATATTTATCGGGTACTAACCTAAACATTGGGAGGCAACGCGCTGTTTATTTATATCTCCCAACAGTCAGTGGGACAATTGATGAATCTTATCAAGATAGGTTTTCAGAATCTGATGTTCATGTGAAATGTGAAATTGAACAGTAAGTTTCATACACAGTTGTTGCTCATAAATGTGTATATTCATGTTACTTTAATGTCCGAAATGTCAGCTTGTATCAAAGTAGACATAACGACTGTTTTAATTGCTGCATTATAATACGAATGACAAAAGAAAATAATAATCTGTTACTATTTTCTTTATGGTTTTTTTACTTGAAGTATACTGGGATCCCTCTATCACATTCACTGACAGATTTACAAAACATTTATTGTTTTATCTGTCTTTTTATTCTTTGGCATCATATCAAAATTTTATATCATCGTATTGGTGATATAAAATAACTCTTTACAAAATAAACAATAGTCTATAAATGACCAATGAACTACTGTCAAGTTTTCTGATACAAATAAAATTTCAATCCAGATGTTAGCAAATATCATAAACACTAATTTACAGTATTTGTTTTTGTATTAGAAACTCAATTGACCTAGCTGTATACGAATAATATTAAATTGTTTAAGGTATTTCAGTTCTAAAGTATATCCAAGTGTTGGTATTTTGTTCTTGTTAAACATTTCAGATCGATTTCAGCAATATATTTTTATTTTAGCGTTCATTCATAAAATTTTCGTATAAATTGTTCATTCTTCTAAATTTTATCCTTAGAATTTAAAATTTGTTTCACCTTCATCCGGATCCAGTTATGTTGGTAATACTTAATGTTTATATGGTTTTCTCTCTTATAGTTTTTTTCTTACATTTTATGCTACTGTATCCATCTAAAGATTTTATTATACATTAGGTATCCTGTGTTATGTACTAAATTACAAATACTAACATTTAATGCAATGAGAAGACGAAGGTTATCAGGATTATGTGATATATTTGCACAATACATGTCGAACAACGTTATTCTTTAATTTTTCTAATAATGTTCCGTCTAACTTTTAGCACCCCATAATGATATCAGCCTTTATTAATTAATTCCTAGTCGAGTTACCTAATTACAACATCTTAATTTCCAATTCATCTTTTTCTAGGATACCAGTTTAGATGAATAACTAGTCATTAGGTAATGTATAAAATGGTTTAAGCTACTCTTCATTCTTAATTATTAAATGTTTATTCATCAAAATTTTTTTAAATTATCGAATGAATGTTTCCTTAGTACATGTGCTTGTTTTCTAATCAGTTACGCGTTAGATGGCGTCAACGTTTTTTGGATATGCATTTTACCATATTCATTCCCTAATCTTTCTCTCTGTCCTAATCGTAAATAGGCGTAATCGTATTAAACAGTGAGCATATTTCATGATGAAGATAAGAAAGACTAATTAGTTTTGACTTGGTCCACTAGTCAGAAAAAAAACACTAAGTCAAACCATTATTCATTTAATTAATAATTGATAAACTCTATTATCGTCATACAATATCACCACAATTGTATGGTGTTTGATTGTTTTCGTAATTTTTCATTACATTTTTGACAATCATTTGTTGAGTAAAACTGCTCAATGTACTGTTGTTTTGTTATAATACCTTAACACAGATATTTCTCGTTTTGTATTTCTTTTGTGAAATACTACTTGAATACTTCATGCATAATTCAATGTTTTAATTTTTTACTAGAGAATCTGAAACATTAATTGTTTGTTTAACTACTCCATTACTTAAAGAAACAATGAATACAGTGAGAAATAAAAACAATTTAAACGGCATTCATCATTTGTAAACTCTTACTATGATGACAATAATAAGACGTCAATAACACCAGAAACAACAACGATAATAGAAGATGAACATCATATATCATTATCATTAGTTATAATGCATGATATGACTTTAACTTATCTATCACATTCATTTTCATTTATCTATACACCGAATCCATCTATACTGGAAGTTCAACGACAAAGCGTCTTGGTTGGGTTAGTTAGTTAATTAGTTCAATAATCTGCTCTTTTATTATTATATTGTTATGCTTACTATTATTGATTATATTGTTTTACATATTTCGTTTCAACAAAATTTATAGTCATCATTATCATCATTTATATTATCATTGGTTCATAATAAATTACAGAAAGCATGCCGGTTAACGGTCATGATTAAGTTGATACAAAAAGGAGCGTAATATGTAGTGGATAGAGATATAAGAGTAAATTGTTTTGAAAAGACATTTATCACAGAACTTATAACACTGTGAAACATCAGATGAGAATAATTATTTTCTTTTCAGTGTTACTAGGATGAATAGTGTATCATCGAGAGAGCAGTAATAAATGAATCCATAGCCCAGTAACATGATTTAAAAAAGAACGGAATATCTCGAACACCACAAATACAAATAAACAACTTAATTTCAGTAAAAATGAATAGTGGAATATACGTAAATGCTGTGTAGGAACAACAAAATTAATTAATCTGAACTGGAAAATTAAAATGAGCTATTATATATAAGCAAAATTATCTGCACTTAATTATTCTATCCCTTTCAAATCAACAATTTTTCCCAATAGTAAATGATGATAGTCATAAAACCAGCCTTTATATATAAGGAAATATATATTTCTAAATGAAAAGCACAGATACGACAATGACGATTTAAATTTATGACTATAATATTTAAATTACGAAGTGTATATTGGCTATGTTTGTGTAATTAAAAAATAACACACAGTAAAACGTTATGATTCTTCATCTAAAATCTATTTGTCGCAATGATAACTGTCTTCAAATTGTGATTAATTAGCATTTACCAAATTACATAAAATAGTTTGTTTTAAATGTTACTATCATAGTTTAGTATCTTACTGTTTATGACAATTTATGCAGATATCAGTTATTAGGTGAAGGGATAAAAGATTTGTTTATTCCAAGTATAATACTATGATCAGTGTAGAAAAAGTCGTTTTCAAATAAGCTCTATTAGACTGACTTTAGACGTTAAAGCTACAGACTGAAATTACACATATGCTATTGTAGTTATTTTCGAAATATTGATATTAAAACTTTGGGATTTTCCTTTGCATTTATAATTCTACAACTAACTGGTAGGGAAGACAATTGTTATTGCTGTTTTAGGTATTATCACTATGGGTTGGAGCGGTGACTCAAATGTTGGAAATTTCATTGCTCTCATCCTTACTGTCTCTTCTTTCTTACACTTTTGCTCATCAAAAAGTAGATCTAACAGTTTATGCATTGTGATTTAGCCAACGTTTTCTTCACAGTAGCTATTCGTTTTAATCACTATTAATCACTTGACATGATATCCATGAGATTTACTAGATGTGTTTTTTTATCAGTACGAGTCGTTTGAAATATCCTGGCTTCTCGCATGAGGTTAATTTATGGCTGAATTATTGGATGAAAGATACTTATTCAAATCAACTAAGATATTTGTGATTTTTTATAATAAGCTTGATTTAAATTAGTGCTTGATGAAACACATAAAGAGGGTTTTCCGACTTCCATATACATGATTGTTTCAATGTTTCTCGAATTTTAGTGCCTAAATGTACTCAACTATTTCTTCATGTTGTTTTTAATGTCTTTTTGACTAAGTATTTCTGTCGTAAGGGTATTTATACATTGATTGTTGATATTCAAAACTGAACTAATCAGTACCTGCTAGTATACAGGTTCTTAAAATAAAAGCCTTGACACTGTATTTACATAGTGATTATATATTTTCGCAGTGATTAGTATTGGAGACTGATCGATATACTTCAAAATATGGGAAATAGGAATTTTCATACCGTTGCTACATAACTGATATTTCACTATCGTTGAATAAGAGGTGGGTACTATAACTCTGTAGGCTTTATACATAACGGGGCTAATATTTAAATAGTTAAGACACTGAGTAACATCAACATCAGGATCAAAGTAGATTGATTCGAAGAATCGCCCATAGAGATCATATTCATTTCCACTACCAAAGTACTTTCCCCCCAATCCCGTATTTATTTTAAAAAATATCTTCAAGTATTTGGTAGACCATTTGTAGTGTTTACTCATTAGTCATTCTTCATAAGTGGAACGACTTCCTGGCTAATAGTTCTACCTCCTCTTTAATATATCATAATACACCATGAATTCAACCCTATTATATTTTTTTTCAGAGGTGGAACTACCGTACGAGTTCTTGGATCTTTTTTTATTTGTAGTTCAAGACCCTAGATTAGTCTTTTATTTCAATGGTTCCGAGTATAGCATGGTAAGTTAGTTTTTGACTTTTGTTGTTACATTCGTGTACTTTATTTTTCCCTAAATAGAAATGTTTTATGTAAACTTTTATGTTAAGTCATTTTACCACCCTATTTGATGTATAATACATGGGGATGTACTTACTGGATTTTAAAAACTAGCGCAACAATTAAGTTTAATTCATTTTTATTTACAATAGACTCTGTAGTATTCATTGTTTCAGTATTTCTCATCAAATAATTGATATTACTCTAGAATCCTGTTTCCAGTCTTGTAGTAGTCTTAACAAAATACCATTGCCTGTTAATACCTTTATGATTTAATTGAACTGGTTTACTCATTCTGAATCGATAAATTTTTACCTCTCAGAGTTCCAACATTTTAACTGGTTATTATCTTCATTCAAACGCAACTTAGAGCTATGCTGTAGAATTATTGATTATGATTTATCGGCTAATACTACTTATATCATCATTAAGATTTTGAAATATATATCAATATCTGTGGATGGTACACTACAGTGCTCTCTCTCCCTTGTACAGTGTCATTTATAAGCTAATTATCGGTGTTTAAGGTCGTATACAGAGTTTTGTGAGCTAATATTATTGACGTTATTTCTCAACTTTACGTAGAATAGATAAAGCTCGTAATGCGCTAACTGGACTATCATTGGTTAAGGGAACTAGGACGTGTGTTGATCAAGTGTAGTTGCTATTTACCCTAACATCCAATATCAGTTGTAAAATAGGTCAAGAAAAAAAATCTAGGGAAGATCAAGTTGATTCTTAAGATCGAATTGATAGATTACCGGTTTAAGCTACTTGATAAAGTATATACTTCTTCATAGGCTCACGATATCTAAGCTAACAGTGATTGAAGGCTTAAAGTGTTAGTTCATAACTGGCTGTATTGGTGTATATACATTCATTGTATTTTTTTTTACAAATCTTAAACATCAGTTTATTCCTCATTTTATTTGTTGCTTATCCGCTTATGTACAGTTTTGCTGATTCACTATGATATTTTATTTCTCTCATTATTTTTCCTGTCGTCATGTTAAAAGTAAACCAGAAAGTTTATATATGTAAATATAGTTCCAAGTAGAATAGATGTTGTTGAATAAGTGGTGTGACTGTAATCTATAGACGAACCAATGAAACTAAAGATACTGAATCTTGCGTTTTGGCATTATAACTTATGTCATTTTATGATGAAAACTCTTACTTTAATTCATGACGTTAAATCTCAGTCTTAATTACTCATATTAATTGATAACCCTCTTTTGTTCCTAGCACGTAGGTGAGTTGTCTCAAGGTCACTTTAGCATCCCTCAAAGATCATCTATTAATTATAGCCCCACCGAATCAGTTGTATTGTCTTGATTTTTATATTTAATGTTTTAATTATTTATCATTTTAATAATAAAATTTACTTTCGAGAGTGTTTATGATTGCTTGAAGTGTATCACCGGAGTATAATAAGAAGCCTAAGTCACTAAATTCAAATTTGTTTTCTATCAACAAAATTGTATAATTTTTTTCTTATGTCCGTCATTAGAGTTGCCTTGTTTCTTCAAATGGACAATTAGATTGTTTCAGTCCTTCTCTTGGGATGTTTCAAGATACTCATTTGGTCAAGGATATGAATGATAAAAACATATATACGAGTGAAAAACTTGATAATCTCTCTAGTACTAGTGTTTGGACAAATAGAAAACAATATATTACATCTCGTTTGCCGATTTCTCAACCACTGGTGTTGTCTCAATTGAAATCAAACCGCGAGTTTTATAATTCTGCCTTTTCATCTAATCCACCTAATTGGCCAATTGATGTACCATATGGTTTTATTATGGATGGTGTACATCAACTTCGCATATTTGGTTTCATTAAAGTAAGCTCTTAGTAAGAATTTGCCTAACCTGATTATTTGTTTTCATAAGCTTAAGAGCAATTAATTTAGACATGTAATTTGTAATCTATAAATTATATGCTTTAAATCAGTTTTAAGTGCCGATGTTGTACTTTGCATCTTTTAACCATGTGCTCTATCTGTCTCTCTAAACACCTTTGAGTACATCCATGCATAGAAGCCTAATCAGCTGTTAAAATTAATCGAATAGGTAAATTTTTAAAAGCTGTCTCAAATATGCCAATAAACGTTGGCTATTACAATAATCACGATATCCAAATTCCATCTGGAATCTAACATGATGCAAACGGTAAACATATGTAGTAATATATCTAGTATATTACACTGAAACTTACAGAAATGCATCGTTTTCTTAAAAAGAAAAAATGACACATTGAACCCACTCCTGTATCCATAATTTGTAGGTTTTTTAATTGGCTTCTTAAACACTGAACATTTTAGAATGTAAGTGCATACACAATGTGTTTCTTGTCTTAACGTGCAATAGTTAATCATGTATGTATTTACATTGAAGTAACTTTTGCATTGATTTTTCATATCTATTAGACTAAGTTTTATTCGTGACTGAGTCATGTGATACATCAGATTGGTCTGTATTTGCTTTTTTTTCTTACATACTCCTAACTAATGTAAGCACTACTCTCTTCAATATACTACAAAAAAAGTATTAGACAATGTGTTGTGAATTGTTTTCAATGATTTGTTAATTAAACATGACTCATATTATGACTGTTACATAGGGAAACAATCGAAATGTTAGTCATTGGATCGTTTATTTCAACCTTGACTAACAGATTTCAGCTTTTGATATCTCATTTTACCACTTCTGAGTAGTAATCTATACTGTTTAACTTCAAAGTTAATTTATTTATGATATCTCTGGCCTACCCAGGTCACGTTTAAATGAAGTTGTAATTTATCAGAACTACAAAATTTGAGTTCTTTAGAATGATAAAATTTTGTTTTGTTGCCATGGTTACCGAGGGTTTCTAGATCCTCTTTAAACATACACATACTTGATAGATCTATTTATAATTTTGTTAATAGACCATCGAGGTAACTGATATTCTGGAAATACTCTTATGAAGTATTCACTCAGTTGGAAAGTATTTGTTAGGTTTCGGGGGATGGGCAGAAATTTATTCGGTTCGAATATGGGCAATTGAGTCTGTGTATAAATCAGCATTCAGTTTACTGACCTTATCCGTTGAAGTAATTTGTTTTGTATCAATCGTTTTGTTATTCAAATGGTAACGAGCATTACTTTCAGTACTGAACTCAGTTAAATGATTTATGTGTGCTTTCATTGACTAAATAAAATACCTGTCATTCTTATGACTTGATTTTTTCTTAACAGTAACATACTGCTTTCTCATGATTACTAAGCACCATAAACTGAGAAGAAAGTTTTTCTTTTGAAATTGACGATGCTTGTATTGGTGTCTTCTACTGTTTTGTTGCTGATTGATTGTATTTTGAATTATGGCGAGACTTAAGATGCTAGTCAGAGTATGAGAATCATTGGCATCGGCAGTGCATAGAAATGTTTTTCACGTAAGCACTATAGGAAACAGTATGATTAATTGTGATCTATAAAATTGTGGAGTCAACAGTATTTTCCTGTTTAAATGGTGTTCAGTAGCAGAATACCTGCAAAGGTCATGCATATTTTAAGGTTGGTTTGGTGTCGTTAGATCCTCTAATACAGATATTAAGAAGCTATATATTGTTCATTTCGATAAACTGAACGAGTTATTTAATTTCGTTACTAGAACTCTGAAGAGTGTTAATTGAATATAAAACTTTATTAATAATTATCTCGAACTCACAGATTCAAGTTAGGGCTTATAGAGTATTGTCATATGGTATCACGATAACAAGTGGCATTCACGGAAATTGCAATAATTCAGTAGGTTGTTTAGCTTTCTTATATCTAGACTGATGAAAGCAATTATTTAACTATAATTTTCCTGAGATTTAGGCTGTCTGGAGATCTTGTGACCAAGTCACAGCACATCAGTTACATAACTCTTTGGCAAAGCCGCTAATAAGAAATAGTATCTTCTGACAACTTCGAGTAAAAATTTGGGAATTTATGGCACAATTTTATACTTTAGATAAGAATTAGGACTTTTCTGACTTATACACTCGGTTTAAGAACGAAGATTCAAGTGATTTTACGTATAAAATAGTTTTCACATCTAACAAAATTTTATCAGTCGTCTTGTCTGCTAATTTACATTAAATAAGTCACTGTTTTTACTACCTTTAAGCTTATACTTGGTCACTGAATTAAATTTGATAGTAGTTACTTTCACAACACTACTAAGTTATCGTAGAACTAACATTAACTAAAGTTCTTCAATACGAAGATCACGAGATAATACGAATTGAGATGGGAGGGGGTAATGTTTCATGTCTGGTAAATTACCATCTGTCCTAACTTACTGTGTTTACTGATATAAAATGTGGCTTATAAGACTAGGCGTTGTGAAATCATCATGGACTAAATAACTGTTTATTCAGGTCGTATGATAAGGTTTAGATTTCCTGAATAAAGTTCCTCACGATAATATGAATCAATGATTATAGACCTTTGATGACGAAACTAGAAACGCTACACAGTTTATGCTTTGAAAAATAATTTGATTATCATTTATTTCCCTCCTTGATCCATATCTCCCTTTAAATTCACTTGGTATTGTTTATTTGAGTCTTCCCATTGATGTTTAGGACTGCAATTGACCAGTCTCTTATTGGCATTTGTGAATACTGTGTGTATTGCCTCGATATTGCCTTAATTCACGAGCATTATATGCAAAGATGGATAGTGGCTAGCAGTGGAATTAAGGACGCGTGTTTCGTCCTATGTGGGACTCGTCAGCTGGATGTACCTGCGTCGCAGAGTTGATGTTCACCCTAGGACTCGAACCCAGTACCGTTTGCCTCAAAAGCCATCGGGTTATCCACTTAGCTACCAAGTCCCTTCGTTTACGTTAAAACTTCACTTTTTTAAATCTATGGAAATGTTTATTCGAGTTTCTACGTTGATACATCTGTATATTCTTGATTTCAGTTGAAGTAATCTTTCATTTTCAATTATCATTCTATCTATACAGAACTCTTCAAGTGGAATTTTTCTATGGATAATAATTCTAATCAGTTGATTTTATGTTTATATTAATTAACTTTTCCAGGTATTCAATTTATGTAGCGTATTTTATTATTGATACATTTCTAGTATATTTTACTGTTAGATCATACTACTGTTATATTACAAACAAGTTTCATAAAGCATGTTCACTTTTTGTCATAGCATTTCTAATTATTTTAGGTGTATCAAGATCCTATTGTAATTCCATTTCCTGATGGTATTCGTGTGGAAAATCTTGATGATTATCTAACAGATGATTTAATAAACGATCAGCATATTGAACTTAATACTTATCAACGTCAAATATCTAACCAATCATTGGAACTTTCATCTCAATCAATTTCATTGACAAATACCCATACATTATTCAATCACATAGATTATTCAAATGTTAGACAATTAATTCGAATTCATGGCCATTTTGATGCTCTTATCAATGCTCCAGAACTAGCTAAATCTGATGAATTAGTTGTAAGAATAGGCGATTCATTAATTTGTGAAGTGAATTCCATTATATTGACAGAAATACGTTGTGATTTAGATAGAAAAATGATTCATAAACATCAAGATTATCCTGTTGAAGTTCAAGTAAGCAGCTCACATTCAGTTTTTATATTGGTTTGTTAACATGATCAAATGTACGTTTCTCTTGTTAATATAATTCATATTTCATCAATTTTCTCGAAACTGGCTTAAAAGTCATACTTAACATATTCACTTAAAATATTGATTATGAGGGTGAAACCTTAAAGAATTTGGGGTCAGAAATGTTACTTTGCGAGTACAAAACTACACACATTTTTCACGGCGGCTCTGTGGTTAAAAGATTTATCTTACCGACCAATCGGTTGGAGAGTTGAATCTCATTCTACTTTCTTCTGTCTGTTAAATCGAGTGGTATCATTAGTCCTAATGTATAACTTTTGATCAACGATAACATTTGCTTAGATTAATTTTCCAAGTGCTAAATGAATCATGTATAATCAAAGTAATATTTCTAACTGCTTGAATTACAATGAAATGAGTTTATGAAGTTCTTGTTTTTTGAAATTATAGTATTTTTCACATACTTGGGTAAGTAGTTCTCAGTGAAGAAGGCATACTGCCAGTAGTCGACTGTTTGAATGAATTTCTTGTAGAACTCCAACTTTGAGCTTCAGTCATAGGAATAATTATTGAAGTCTAGTCAGCGAGTCATAATGTACTGCACTTGGCATAATTTTTGGAGACGTTAAATAACATTCCGTAAAAGGTAAAGCTGTTGCGCTCATTCGCTATCTCGTAAATCTTAAGTATAGTATCACTATGTACTTCTCTCTCGATCTCATTTATTCCTCTTCTCCCATGTTTCTCAGCTCCAGCTTTCCACTGCATTGGCTATTTAATGCTTTCTGATGTTTTGCATTTAGTCAATTTCCTTCCCTCCTGTACTAATATAGATGGCAGAAACTTAAATAGAAATAAGTATGACTGACATTAATCATCAAAGGGATATCTTCCAATGTATTGCTATTTTTTAGCATCATCTAATCCATTATTCCTCAAAATAAAGTACGTTCGTTGTTGTTTGTTTTGGAACAAGTATTAAAAATTTTACAAATGTACTGCGATCTGCCAAGAACACATTAATTTTAGCACAATAACAAATGACTGTAATAGTTATTTCTTAATAGTAATTTCTTAATATTCTTTAAAGGTATGATATGAAAACCGTTTATACAGTAATAGTTTTGTCAAGCATAAATACTTCATACAATCAAAAAAACTGTTTGGACATCGTGTAACTTCATTACAGTTTATTATTATGTAGAAACTACTAAAATTTTACCCTTCGTTTACATGGAATTCGCTCATTTCCTGCTAAGTCACCATGTACAAATGTGCTTACGTTTCTGAATTATTGATAAGTTTTCTGAATTTAACTATGAAATGCTTAGAAATGGAATGTTATTACAAAAAATATTCTACTTAAATAACAGATACACTAAATAATCGATCAATGATAGAAAACGTTCTAAATATTGAAATATGTCAATTTTTCTGGAGAGATGATATAAATTTCAAACTTCCACATGATAAAAATGTATGCAAATTAACAAACAGACGCTAATTCATCCATAGGCTTTAGTTGAGCCACACATATTATGTCGAAGCTAATCGCATGTAGTTAAAATTCACTGAACTTTTCTGAGCGTTAAATTTATTGGTTTTTTTTTTCAAAATTTTAATCAGTTATATGAAAGTTGACGATTCAAATTACTTGAAAATCTGTGAAAATATTTTAACTTTATTTTGATTTTGTACTTACATACTAAACATTTAACACCATCTTTCTTATTCCAATTGGTTTCTTTTCTATCTGTGTTATATAAAACTCTCAATAAATCTCTGTATAATTTTTCCCCTTTTTCAAATTTGACGATTCTTGTTTTGAAGTTGATGAGTAAAGTTGAAATAAAACCTGAGTGGCGACGGGAGTTAAATTAACAAACTTCAAATTACTAATATATTATACTGGTTCTTTATGGTGACTGGGACTCAGGCTGTATTTAGACTATCCAATAAATCATTCTTTTAACTCATTCTTTTCCTATGATTCAATTGTTCAATTTTTTTCGTAGAGTTTGTTAGTTTATATAACAGTACAATGACTTTTTCTTTAGACAACAAAGTACAACGATTTCATCATATTTTATTGAGCTTTATAATCGTCATCAATTAATATGCATGAAAATCGAGAAAGCTGTACTTTTAATCCTTGGCTAAAGTTAAAAACAACAATAATAGTTGGTGTGAGGCGAAAATGTTAGACCGATGAAATTAGCATATTTATGTATATACACCAGGAAATGTGTCATTTCTTTGTGTGAAATATGATAACGATTATTAGAGTATTCTACTATGTGAGACAAACCATAGCTGTAAAACAAAACGATTATATCGGTTTTTCTATTTTTATTCTTTCTAATGTCATGTAAAAAAAGAAATTTTCCTAAATTAATTTACTCAAACTGGAATGTCTGCTAAATGAACAACTCACTATCTCCAACTAATCATTTGTTTTAAAGTATTCGTGAAGGTTGCTGAAAATCGTTGTTCCCAACCCATTTATTAAGAAAACAAATATTAAACTAAAAGATTTAAATAAAAATTCTCAAAGTGTAGTGTTAGAGCTTAGATCTTTCTTCTTTAGAAAATATTAATAATTAATATTACCAGTTTTGTGCATATCTGAATTATCTTACTTGTTCCGGATGATTAAAGCATTCATCGTCTTTCTGTGTTAGATAATTTTGTAGGGGGAATCTGATATTTCGAAGTGATGTCAGCTGAAGTACCACTAAAAATGAGGTTACATTGGGAAGTTGTTTCCATTCTTGTTCGGAACACCTTATCAACATGCATTGGTGCAAGCTCAGGACTTTCACGTCTCTCAGTGTGTATGTTAACACTAGACATTTGAATTGAAATCTGATATCTGATATTTTCAATTTATGGTTTGCTGTTATCATCATCAATAAGTTGCATTCTCACTTTGAACTGATCTCAACATTTCATGAAAACTCCATGAAACTCATCTTGTGATCATTAATGAGCACACGATTATCATTATGTGTTATTGAGAAATGTTCGTTTATACTTAAGTTTTCTTTGCATTTCGTATACTCATCTTTTGTCACGAATTTGCACCGAACTACATATTTACATATATAATGTGGTTCATTGTTACGTCATTTTTGTCTTATCTCAATGTTTATTTTACTGTCTGACCTGCTTTTTTTAATCGTCATCACTACATATTTTATGCGCAAATTCAGACTCTAACGATAACCAATAATTTTGCTTAGGTTACAGGTCTAAAACCAAGTAGTAAACCTCTTTCACCATATCATTCGTTTTGTTTTTGTTTTGAACTTTACTCACATACCTACACAGACGTTTTTTACGTATCTGTACTAATTCGTGTTAAATGTTATGTGCATATTTGAACCAGTGTTCTTGTTTTGTTTATGGTCAAAATTCTGCGTTTCGACAACATAGTTCAAATTTCAGCATAAATAAAATACTTATTACTTGATGTCATTTGTTTTATACGGGATTTCGTTTGTTTTTGACGTACTAACTTATGGAATATTTTCGAAACTAGATTCAAACAACAGTCAGTATTAACGTGTACATCATAACAGAGCTCAGACCAATAATCATAGATTTCATCGACTGATGCAATCTCTAAGGCTTTTTCTTATTTTACTCGTACGCCATCCGGCGCAATCAATCAAGGTTGGTGGTTGTAAAGATAGGATCCACCTACTTCCCATATATATTTGGTACTCATCAACACTTAGCTAAGGCCATGTAAGATGAGGTTTTGTTGATTATCAATTCACTAGAGATGACAGAACTCGACATTCTCAAACACTTTATTTTAAATGACAATTCTTTGTCTTATGCGAGGAAATGGGAAAATCAACGATATCAGACCATTGGTGGATTCGAAGTGAGTAATATTGAAGTTATTTCCACAAGTATAGATAAAGTAGTTGATTCAGTCTCTAAGATTCCATACTTTTACCACAGCGACTGATTCATGCATCGTTTATGAGATTAGTATCACTTTATCCGTCTATTTCTCTAATTTTATTCTAAAAATATTGAGAATCCCTTACTGCGTCTATAATACAGTTCTCTTTAATTTCTCTTATGTACAGCATACTAACCGTCAGAGAAAGTTCATGAATAACTGATTGACATTATTTGCTACCTTAACGTCTAATTAAACTTATTTTAAAAGATTAATTTATGGTCTCACAGTAGAGAATCGGATGTAGGTTAAAATTAATTTATCAAGACGAACTTTTGTAAAAACGAGTAATGAATTATCTTTTAATAGACATGTATGCAACAAAGTCACTCTTGGAAATTTATATACGCGATTACAAAAAAAATAATTCATAAGCTTCTCATCACTTCCTTTTTTGTTAACTCATACTTCTGTTTTCATATGATTTAAAGGTAGTAGGATATTCCTTTTAAGTTAGCAAGTTTATTCTAGCCCCTAAATGCCCTGGTACGGTTGAGGGTGGGGTGAGTCAGCTCTACATCTCGAAATGCTCTCAAATGGCCACACGTACAGAACCACTGTCCGGGAAGTCCTGCTCACTGCCTTCTCGAGACACTACTGTTGTTTACGAAATTGAGAGGACGAAAAGCGAGTGTCCGGCGCTTTATCCGGTCTTGTGAACGGAGAGGGTTCACCTAGGGGAGTTGGAAAACCCTGATTCCAAACCAATGGTGCACATGAGCGCCATTACTCTGAGGTAACAAAAGGCGTATGAACAAGTTGTTGGTCACTGGATAACATGGGACTGCATCTCCTGATGTTGCTCCACTGCCTTGTGGATCAGACCATTAGGTCAAAGGCTTCGGGTGCGGCCTCCTAAGAAAACCACCTGCTTTGGTCTGGGCACTCGGGCAGAATCACAGCCAACACACAAGTCAAGTGACTTGTATGGCGCATATGTATTCAGTGCCCTTTATACCGATATTCATGTATTCAAATAAATAAATAAACTATTCCTAAACGTTCACTTATAGGCAAACTGATATAAAACTGTATATTTGTACATTGTTTCGAATAAATCTGTATTTGATCAACCATAAAGATATTTTGGTAATTGTATTATCAAAATGGTGTAATTAAATTTTTTATAACACTGAGTAACATGTTCACTTTTTTTCAAAATCTCAATTTGCATTGTTCAAAGTTTGCTAAAATAAAACGGTTCTTTGTTACTGAGTTATAAAACGAAATGAACAATATAAGAATAAGTTTTATTAGTTATCGATAATATTTTCGTTAAAAAAAACACTAAACATATAAGTATCGTAATGCAAAACAGTAATATATATATATATTGAGATCATGAACCGATTGATGTTGGGCCACCACTGAAAACCTGGAAGCACTGGACGGCCTTTTCGTCCTATTGTGGGACTCCTCACAGCAGTGCTAGTCCACGATCCCGCTCTCGGGCTTCGAACTCAGGGCTTAACCTACTTGACCACAGAGCCGGCACCCAATGGTGTTAGTGTCTAACCTCAACCAATCCACGAAGTTGCGCGACCATCTTCCATTGTACTGAGATAGACACCTGTTTCTGTCCAACACGGATTAGCTCCACTGGTCACTGCTTCTCACCAGAACTCCGAGAATTTTCTCACGAAGCTAGTCACTAGTGAGCACATGGTAATTCTCAGTTTAGGGGTTGTGGAGATTGTTAAGTTTTTTTTATTGAGATTAGGAACCAATTGACGTTAGCCTAACGTCAATTGGTTCCTAATCTCAATAAAAAAAACTTAACAATCTCCACAACCCCTAAACTGAGTATTATATATACACTGATATTTATATTTACTTACCAGTTACTATTTTTATTTCATAAATGAAGTTGACTTTATCAGTTTCAAAGTTTTGTACATAATCCCCACTCCCATCAAAAAATTACTTCCACACTCTATTTTGTTTTGTTTGACTTTTTCTTGCAGTTTGGACGTTTTCTTATTTATCGTCCTGGTTCTGTTCGTTTTGTTGCTTTACGTCAAGCAGCGTTACGCAGTCAAATTATCATGATATTTATTGGTCTTCTTCTAATTTTAATTTTTGTTTGTCTGATTGGATTTATAATTTGGCGACGTTTTATGCAACATCAAAGAAATTATCAAGCTAAACTTGATGAAAAATACGCTGAACATGAAAATCGTGTTGTTCGTATATTTAAAGAAGGTTTGTGCTATTTAAGCATATTCATGTTTAATATTTGTTTTTCTAGATTATAATGTTGATTCGTTCTTTTTTTAATTGTTCCTTTGAATACTTTTCAGTTTGATAGCAATTACATGTAATTCATTTCAAATTGTAGTATACTTTGAAGTGTTATTTTTATGATTGAAATGTTCTCATTCCATGAGAAATAAATAATGATCAACCAATTAAAATTTCTTATCATTCTTTGATAAATAAAATTACAAAACATGAATAAGCCTTTTAAATCTAATGTACGCGCACAAACTTCCAACTTGATTTACTGGATCGAAAGTACGTAAATTAAGTAATAGTGTAGTGAACGAGAACACAAGTGGGGACAGTCGAATGTATTTGAACAGGAAATTACAGAACATCTTAGTAAAATATGAGATCCATACGGTAAATAATTCATTTGCAAAGTGTCAATCAATCATCTCAGTCTTCATTGTTCTTTCGTATCCACACCAATCATTTTCTGTTCTCGTTCCCCCTTCTTCGATCTTCTTAACCTTCTTCTGCCAGGTATTTCACTTTCTGATGATGATACATACTACTTGTATTTATCGGCATCAGTAGCACGCACCATAGTAGTATTTTCTTCAGCACAATAATCGTAAATACTTTCTAGTATAAATAAAATTTTTCATCAGCCAATAAACATTTTTTTGCTTCTCCTGAGAATATCTTTTTTTTAATTAAATTTAACATCTAGTATTTTTTGTCTACGACTAGCATTCGTGAATCTTTTATTTCTATCATACTAACTTATATGTGATAACACATGTACTAAAAAATTGACTGAAGTTCGATATATGAATCAGATGGAATTCTGACTGTGTGGCCTATAAGGTATTATGTTTGCTATGAGTTCTGTAAGTTTGAAGTTCATAAATATGTGCGTCATGTTAATAAATCTGTCTGATAACCCTTGCCTTTGCCCATCAGTTGACCAGCTTGGTTTTTTTTCGTGACGGAAAATCTTCATGTTAAAAAACCTATCTCAAGTTTTTATGTACTTAGTTTACAAACTACCGTATTAAAAGGGTAGGACATTGGGTGCTGATCAAATACATTGTTTTTACCTTGCATTTATATGTGCTAACAATAACTAACCTACTGTAATAACTTACTATTAAGATTATTTTTCGGAGTTAATAATCAAATAGTTTAATTGAGTTTCTTTTTCTCCTTATAAATGATAATAGATTTCATGGAATTACAGACAAGTATGCAAGAATTTTCTCAAGAAGTGAAAAAGCATAATCTCCCTTATCGAGATTATAAAACATTCTGCCTGTTTTCGTTATTTCCTGAATATCATTGTGAATTAATGAATCCAATCGATCCACATTTATCGGCTCCATTATTAATTAAAACTGATATAACAATTGAACCACTGAATAGTGCAATTGTCCCACGTCATCCATTGTTGTCACCTTTAACAGTAAGTGGGTTAAAATAAAAATTATGATATTGATCTATTATTATTGATTTGTCCAACGGTCACTGGACAGCTGCTTCATTCTATTTTGAGTCTCTTTTCAATTATTCTTACGACCTCTTCGGGGGTTAAACCCAAGACTGGAACTCAGTCAAATCTCGTTATTTCGTTACTTTTATTTGTCGCTATCGGTGATACCGTAATGTAAACGATAATCATTCAGTTAGAACAATCATCAGTTCATGTGTATATAGTTGTGTGTTGTTCGAATAAAACAACATGGAATAAATATCTTAACTTACGGTCTTATGGATTTTTAATATTTAATTATGTTCATTGTTACAAAATGTCTGAGTTATCCCGTTTTTGACAGCCTTGGTTGAATTTTAGTTTGTCTTTTTTGGAATATATTCATCCTGCGCGGATGGCCTCGACATAGCCGCTTCGTCATAAGTTCTTATAAAATAGATGAATTGTGACTATCAGTGGAATCGAGGAAGCGTGGTTATCTGAATTCACTAGCGTAATGGATAGCGCATTAGGCGTTTGGAACGGAAAGTACTGGGTTCGAGTACTTTTGTAAAATTTAACATGGATAAAGTTATGTCCTGCTGAAGAGTAGTCCCGTATAGTATGGAAGTAGCGCTATGGATACTACTACTACTACCCACTATTCATTTATTTTATAAAACCTCTGACGAAGCGGCTTTACCGAGACAATCTGCAAATATGATAAGTAGGACTGATCAAAATTCAGTCGACGATTTGTTTATATTTATTTTCAGAGCTATAAAGTCCATTCCGGCAAAGTTGATATTTGCTACATACAATCTTAACACTAGTAATTAAATTCTCAATACATTTTGGAAGAATTCAGTTAAAGTAAAGAAAATGTTATATAAATGCGTAAATAATCGTAAGGAGATTAAAAAAATCTAAACTTGTCATACTGTTTTACAATTTTTCTGTCTACATAGACTTTCATTTCTATTCATAAATTGCTTAGTACTTTATTTTTTACTATACAATGCGTTTTTTAAGGTGCATGTTCGAGCGCATGATGATGCAACCAAAGGAATCTCGTTATTTCACGCACTCTTGTGCAATCGTCACTTTTTATACCTTTTAATTCATTTGATTGAAGAAGATAAACATATAATGGCTAAAGATAAATCTCGTATTGCTTCTCTACTCTGTGCAGCTTTACAACCGAAAATGGATTATTTGACAAGGTCAGTTGAATTTTTCTTACAGTGTTCGTGTTATTCTATCAAAATCTCCTTAGTATTAGGGTGTTCGTAGTTTGATCACTTTTAAGATAGTTTCTATTACGAATTGAAATTAATTAAGTAATTACTGAAATCCGAGAATTGCAGGAGATCTGTTTCATTCTGGTATGGTTTCTCAGTAGTGCTTACCCACGACCTCTTTAGGGATGGAACCTATGATTAGGGGTGAAAGACAGAGGGTTACTTTTAGAATATAGAGTTATGATCCATCAGCTCACATTTAGAACTTCAGTTAATTCGCCAATATCGCTTTACGATTGTTCATTGCTACTGATAATATCGGGATGTAAGTGATGATCATTCAGTTAGAACATTAAGCAGTTTATTTGTACCATTGTATCTTATTTCACACTTGTTGCTGGTTATTTTGTCGCATTATTTACACATTCATGTTATGTTAATAAATAAAATAACCTTTGGATCAATTATTTCCGATTTTCTAATTATTTACATTTGTAGTTATTATTAAGGAAAACAACTGAACTATTATTATTATGTAAACGAATGTGTTTTGTGTTGAAAACATAGTCTATATCAGTCCCCTTAAAATAGATGATTGAACATGTAATCCACCTTGATTAGCGTGATATTGTGGTTTAATGTTTCCCTGTTCAGTTTATCAATTAAATACTTTCTCAGTATGGGGGATTTATGGAGATTGTAGTACTTTCATAGTTGAAATCACGAGTCTATCTAAACTAGACCACTATTGAAAATCTGAAAGGACTTGACGGTTTTTCATTGGTGGTCTATGTTATGATTTTTGTCCCTGCCAATTATCACGTGACAATATCGCCAACCAGAATACCGACTCATATGACCTTGTACTTGCGCTAAAGCAATGACACGTCAATCAGCACTGTCAGCCTTACATCAACCTTAAATCCTTACTGATCCTTCTCACCTAGCCCCCTGCCTGTTGAGTTCAAAACTCAGTCTTAGCCTGCATTGTATGGATCGTATATTTCAGACATACGTGGTTTATATGCAAGCAAACCAGACCGCTTCAGACCATAAAACAGACAGTAACAATTATACTAGTTCAGTTCAAAAGTGGCTGTGAATGTGAGACTGTAACTTATAAACTGGGATTAACTTGAGAATAGTAAACCATATGATAGTAACCAATAGGTCAAATGAGAGCCTATGATAAAAAGAATGTGAATATGCATATAATCCATTTACTACACAATTATCCAATATGAGTATATGCAATAATAGTCCATAAATAATTCCTAGTAGTTACCATTATCAGAAAGATTACAATCTAACAGTATTTTCAATGAAATACTTTAGAAAATTATTTTCTAGTTCATATATGACCTATTTTCATTATCATTATTTGATCATGTATAGTATTTTTTCTTTCATTATATTAACCGTGAAAAGTTGGGTGTAGATGGGTGCGTTCGACATTGAAATAATGAAAAAAAAATCGTTTTTATAATGAATCAACAAAATTCGTATTTTGTTTTATTTTCAAGTTCATGACAAATAGTGTGAAACAGATCATTTTCAGCGGGTTTCTATGCGAAAAATCAAATTCTTGGTAACAACACCATCAATATGCCAACTTTTTTCTGAAAAGAGCCTTTTGTTTTGTATTTTCCATTTCAGTGTTATGTTTGATTTAATGACCGATCTTTTGTACCAACTTCGTCTTCAAGGAGATGCTCGTTTAACTACTGCTTTTCGACGAGCTGAAACAATTGTCGATAAAATCCTATCTAACTGGTTAACATTCCTATTGTATAAGTTTATTAAAGTAAGCAAGTACTATACAAATTTATTTTTAAAAATTTTCTATATGATAGTTTGTATCTAACCTTAGATGTGGTATTAATTCTTCATATTATGTTTTGCTGCTAAAGAAAGAATAATGGGAATATCACGTTATTTGAGACGTATTTAAAAACATTTAATTTTCGGACCCATAGTTTCATCATGTAATGTTGTGCTAGTATTCAGTGAACGGAACGGAATGTCTCGTACAGATACAGGTTCTCTACTGTGTGTACTTTGCGAACTAATGGATGGAATATTATAGAAAGGCAAATTAAATATCGTTTGCAAAATAAGCTACATGAACTTTGGGAAAACTCTAATATGGACATAATCTTAACCTTTTATTCTTCAGTTGCAAATACTTTCATTAGTCACAATTGATTGATCACTGGGTGGTGATCAATGTCATGCTTGTCTAGTCCTTATTAGTGCAGATCGAATGCTATCGATCATGTTGCAATGTGGCCACCAGTCTAGGTGACTTTCATTAGTGCCTAAATTTCAGCACAACTTCTTTCTTATACTTTCATAGTCTTAATGTTAATTTAATAGATTTCTCACACCAGACCACTATAGTATGCAGTTAATTACCATTATTAATACTTAGTTATTGATTGCAATGGTCTAATATACAGTGTATTGCAACGTATGACTTCTTTTTCTTACTTCATTTAGAATAGCGTCGGTGAAAATTTATTTTATTTTTACCGAGCTCTTCTACAACAAATAAATATGGGTCCACGTGATGCTATAACTGGGAAAGCTAGATATACATTAGACAGTTCTTCATTACTTCAAACAGAAATGACTGGAAAGCAGATTGTAAGTATTATAAATTCTGCACATCCACTTTGTATATCTATGTGTGTGTTCTATCATTGTTTGCTGTTATACATTTTTACATTTATTACTTATATGACACTTTTCACGTATTTTCTTTCATTCATATAGATTTGTTTTGCACTATTATTATTACTGTTATTTTGTGCACAAATTAACTGTATCTCGTCCAATGAATAATAATGATACTTTTTTTTAGACACTCTGTGTTGAAGATCCTCAGCAATTATTTGGTTTATCTACTTCATATATTTCTGTAAAAGTGCTTGATTGTGATACAATAACTCAGGCCAAGGAGAAAATTTTAGATGGAATCTATAAAAATAAGCCATATTCAAAACAAATTAAATCTACACAGTTAGATTTAAGTAAGTGATTATCACCAATTTCGATTGATCTCATTGTTATTTCATCATAATATTCTCCTCTTTTTTATTTAATTCTATAGTTTGAAATAGCATTTCTTTCAAATATTTTTTTCTGAATTACTTATGATTAATTATTATAATGAAAGCCTAAGAAATTGTTGTATTTTAATATTGTTTCGTTTTAGTGATTAGTTAGAAGTAGGATAGTGTAAAATCCTACTTCATTTTAACTTTTTAATAATCCAGTAAGTTTCTCAAGGTTAAGGCGAGTGAATTAACCCACAAAACATTCGACTTTTAACTAAATAATGATTAATAGTTTGGAACTTCATTCCTCTTCTATTTGTGTAGCTGGGTAGTATCATTTACTCTCATCAAAGTGATTACATAAATCTGTTCTTAGTAAATACGTTTCATCAGGTTATGTATGAAAAATGTAATATTATTGTGAATAAAAGTTTACATATGAGAACACCGCGATAAAATTAGTTTTAAATAACTTAGTTCTAAACGCAGTAGATAAACGTACGATTATGCAATAGCTTTCAGTCCATGTTATGTAATTACGGACTTGGATTATTTTCAGGAGGACGGGATACTAAAATTAGAGTGTATCATTTAAAAGTACTTTTGGGGAAAATTAATTTATTAAATGAATTACCAATTGTTATTAGACATGCCATTATATTCAGATCATACAGTAGTAATGGTAGAGATAGCAGTATCATGTCATGATTTCTTTATTTATTTTTACAATCATTTTTCTAGAGAGATTAGATGAACAACGAGTTATCGCACAAAACCCTGGTACGTGTTTCTTCTTTTATTGTTCTAACTTCGTTGGAAGATTGTGTAGTTTGTGAACTAGAATCATAAACTAATTATATATGTATATATAATACTATGATAACATTTCAATCACTTTTGTAAAACAAACGAAATCTCCGGAGATTGATCACTTATATAATTGTTCTGTTGTGACTTTACTAACATTTATCATTCACCAGATAGTGTTATTATGTTACTGATGCTATAAGTGGATATACTGAAGCAGTTTAAGCTAATTTTATTTCATCAGCTTATTGTTCATTGTTGTCACTTCAAAAAACAAGTAAATTAAATTTTATGCATGTTAGTGAGTATAGTTTTTAGTTTGTTTAAGTGTTTATACTGGATGAACATTCTTCCTTACATATATATATATATATATATATATATATATATATATATATATATTCCTTGAATCTGTAAAAATGGTTTATTTTGTCGTGTTAGAGAAAGTATTTCGTTATTTTTCAAATTACCATAATTAATTGTGCTCTTCACATTTCATTAATTAATACCATTGATAAAATTCCATTTTGTGATATCGACGTTTCCTCAGCAGGTCGTCTACGTTATTAATTGAATTTATAAAATAAGACAGATTGATTCACTGAAGAGGCCTTGTTTTTGCAAATGTATAGTGTTTTTCACAATAACAATCTAATCTATGTATATTGAGAATAACAATGATTTACTAAACATTATAACAACGGATCAAAATGAATGACAGCACAGAAAGTTTTTTGTTCTTATTAAGAAGGTGAAAATGTGGTTGTTCATTACTTGAATGTTTGTAGAAGTTCGATAAAGATTTATAAGTGTGTATTGGCTTGTATTCCCAGCGTTGTAGTTAAGCTGTTAAGGCCTTCGACTTTTAACCATTTAGATGCAGTTTTAAACCACGCTTCCATATACTTCGGTTTGCTCAATCAGCTAGTACTACATGCCTCTTGCTTAAAGTAAATCTGAAAGTCAAGTACGCAAATCTATTCTAGGTAAATGAGTTGAATTAAATGATTTGTGTAACATAATTAGATAAAATTTGAAATTAAAATGACATGATCAATTAGAGATATGCAAATGCTTAGGATTAAAGAGTCAATACTAGAACAATAAGAGAAATTAAGGGTGGTAACTTTGGAATATTATAGTTTAATGCCATGTTAGAATAAGAGGTTGAATAAATTTATTTTATAAGCATAGCTAGTTCTGATTTCTCTAAGTGTATAACGAAATCTTCAACAATGCAAAGCAGATAGAAACTCATTGTTTTTTTGCAGGAACTAGATTTCTTCAATGAACCACTCTTTTTTCTTTAATGTTTCAGTGTTTTTTGTTTGTCTAACTAGTTATCTTGTCATTCTTTCTTAGCCTTAAACATTGTTGTTGTTGTAATCATTGTTTTTCTGTATTGTATATTTCTATTCTAATTTCAAATTGCATAATATCTCTGAAATTCATAAAACAATTAGATTAGATAATAACATGAATTGATCTAATTAACTGAGACTTTATTTCAATATTATTTATTCTTTCATCAGTCTAGTTAGTAAGAGTATTAATAGTGGTAGTGCTGGTAGTAAATAGTATTTTTATATATCATTATTCAGTTAATTGATGCATTACAAGATAAATTTTATGGTTTATTTATTTTTATAGAAAATGAACTATTTACTGGTCAAACTTTAACGGATTGGGACGTAAAGATTCGTTCGAATTCATCAAATTCCACTGATCATGACAAGTTACCATTCCGATTGAACTGTATTGCAGATTATCATGTATGCAGTAAATTTTACGTTATTCACGTATACAGTAAATGTAAAAGATGTATTTCACTTTGCATTTTTGTAATTTAAAATATGTTAGCACAGTTTTGTCTCAAACCACTGATGGAAAGTAAAGCAGTTGATCCCTCTGATCAGTTCAATTATTTTGGAAGTCTCATCAGCGTTGATGGATTAGCGCATGACAAAATTTCGGCCTAGTTTCAAGACGTTTGGTCGGCTTTTGCCAACTTATAACGTAGGCACGATGTCTGTCTACCAACCGAAGGACGAGTATGCTGCTCAAAAGTTCGTTTTGTATTACTCTTTAGATCCTAAATATCCTCCATGAAAATAGAAGATATGTACAGTCCGAAAGTTTTGGTTGCATATTTCTTCAAACCATTCCTCGTGTCATGGAATGACTGAATGAGCTATGTCGAGGTTATATATAGGTCAATTAGTAAGATGGTAAATAGGGGTTGCAAATCTCCATCAACTGAAGCGGTTAGGACATATACAACACAGGCCCATCAATTGTCTGTCTGACCGGATGATGTTAATAGATTTAGGAGCACTTTGGAAAGAAGTTAGACGTGCTCAAACTAAGACGCGGCATTAGCTCATAAAGTCACTGACTATTGATCTGAGCCATCTTATTACCTGAGGGTTCGCGCGACAGCCACGTTCAGTGATTAGAAATTTAGGGTAAAACAGCTCAGGCAAAATCGTATCCAAACTTTTTCTTCCTCTCGATCTTGAATTTCAGGGTTCCATCATACATAATTCTCCATTTAAAACCCTATTCTCGCTGTTCGGTTTTCTTCATCATCACTGCTGCTACGTTATTTCAGTTTTTGCTACTCACCATATGCTGATGTGTAATTGCAGCTCAGGCTAACGTACATCTGTACTCAGCTTTACGTTTATTATACCAAACTAATTGGTTTTTAATGTGAAAGCTAAAAGTTTTGTACATCTATAAGTTTACTTGATCATGCGGGGCCTGTTATGTTGGCCATGCACAACGAATACTTCCCAAACGCATCTAAGCACATTACGCAGTATGACTTTGAAGAGGATAATTCCAAATGATCAGTATCTCGATAGAGAAATACTTTACCAACTCTAGGCAAGTTGCCTCAAAGGAATCGTTTTTTCAAAATAATCTACACAATCAAAAGAATGGGCTATCGAATAGAAAACTTATGGACTGGTGAGGCGTTGGCTATTCACCAATTCATGTCTGAACTCTGTGTGCAGAAGCAAGACGGATAACCTCTCATCCTTCCACAGCCCTATTGGTTCTATTCCAGTATATTTTAATCTTTTTGAGATTTTTACTTTGCGCTTTTTTAAACCGTAGTCAGTTATTATTATCATCCTCGAATATTTTTCATGATTGTTATTCAATCGTTATTATGACCTTTATGTTTTTCATTTCTTCATATCTGTTAAATGAACAGTTATCTCTCACATTTCTGACCCTTAAATTATTTTCACCATTCCACTATTGTTGTCTAACCTCTTGTTCATTACGATACCCTTTTTTGATATTTGGAATTTCTGATCAATGTATGATGTAATCCGTTTTTCTATTGACTTATAAATTTATCAAACCACTATAAATATGACTGTACAGCTTAACCAAATGTTATTGTCGAAACAAGAAATTTTCCTCCCTTTTAACAAAATTTCACACAGAATATACAACCTGTTGTTCATGAGTTTCTATCTACAACAACGTCATTCATACACAAACGAGTGCATATTTTTAGGAATTATTATTTATTAACTCTGGTATGCTGTTGAGATTAGATCGTGGTTGGAGGTAGTCAACAGGAAACCCTGGACCCGGGTTTCGTGCTCCTTGGCACTCGTCAGCAAGATGTACCTGTAATCTTGAGGGAACTGGTGCTTCCTGGCGGATTCGATCTCGTGTCACCCAGCTGTCTTTTTTCAGTGTGCACATTTTTATAAGTAAATAGAAAATTACATTTTTTTTCTAAAAATCACAGAATTCTAATTGTTGCGGTAATTGTACTTGTAACTACATATATTTTTCAACATACTTCTGATAAAAAAATATGTATGTTGTAAGGTTTAAGTTTCTTTTGTGAAAGAGGAGTACCAAAGTTACGTTATTTTAATTCATCCATCACTGTTACAAAGTTGAATTATTAGTCATTTATGCTTGAATGATATTTCATCACATATTGCTAAATAAACAAATAACAATCAAATAATTTCTTTTTTCCGGCTCGTCTTTTTATACATGACAAAAATCAGTGATGGTATTTGCACAGTTGATGTTTCTTGATATTGTTTATTTGTATATATATATATATATATATATATATATATATATATATATATATATATATATATATATATATATATATATATATATATATATATATATATATATATATGAACCAACACTTCTGTTTCGTAGAAAGCTTTGATCAATTTCAGTTTGAATGGTTTTTTATATAATGGAAATTAATTAATTATTCAGGTTGTAATACAGACATTGAATTTCAGTCTGGACTAAACCTAACGATACATATCATTTTGCCTGAATCGTATTTGGTAATCCATGATTCCTATCGATCAGCAATAAGTTTGAGAATTGATTCCAGTATCAGAGAGATGCATCCATTTCACATATTCTTTTTTTGTTACACTTCCGACTATTTTCTGTGTTGTTAAGTTCTATTTACCCGTTTTTTTATATGAATTTTGACCAACTAGAGTCAATACATATTTGCACCATATCCTGCGTTGTTAACGATTGACTAGGTTATAAGACAAGATGTATATCTTCAATTGTCTTATCATAACGCTTCTTCTAATCTATTTTCTATTATTAGCTCAAAGACAATGCACATGTTGCACTGGTTACTTGCGAATTTACTAAATCCAATCATAGTCAATCCATATCGAATGCATTGCAATGTAAGTTTATCCTTTGATTTTTGATATACTGAATATTTTGTATTTAACTTACTATTCATGTTTATTTTTGTTTTAATAAATCTGTTTGTGACTAGGACATTTACAGCCAAGTAAGCCATGTTGTAAGAAACTTCCTCGTTTCGATTTACTTAGGAAACTGGTTTTTATATCTACGATTTCACAAATATTCACTGTACAAACTGTCAAAACGAAGATAGTTTCATCCTAAATAGTGCTTGCACATGGTGGGTGTATTTTATAAGCATTTAATAGCTTTAAAAATACTTAAAAATCCGCATGGAAACATAAATTATCGATCTGCTAAGTTTATTACCCAAAATTCAATAGCTTGGATTCTGCCTAACACTTATATACTGATGTATGTGAAAATAATCTAACTTCCATGTCCAAACATGAAGTATTTATCCTTGACGGGGTTCCGAGCAGATACTCGATGAGTTCTATACTAGGAGGAAACAACTACCCAGCACTCTCTGCTTCTCGACAATCCTCCGAAATTGATGTTAATTTATGGAGAGAATCAACTACAAAATAGACTATTCTACACACATATCTCTAAATTATTTACTCAGATGTTCGATTACTGTATGACAGAGACTTTTCTGCTAGTTCATACTTCTTCAAACAATTACTTCAAACGATGAGTCGTTGTTGTGTCTTTTCCCAGTGACATTGTCGTAGCTAGAATAATATTTAGTTACAGTAAGAACTTTATTCTAAGTAGTGCAATAAAAAGATCTCATTACTTAACATTCGTCACCATCTATCTACAGTGTGAATAAACTAATATTTATAAGTAGAGATGGACGGTGGCTAGTAGTAGAATCCAGGACGCGCGTTTCGTCCTATTTGAGACTCGTCAGCTGCATGCGCCTGCATCCAGAGTTGATGCTCACTCCAGGACTTGAACCCAGTGCCGTTCACTTTATGGGACAAAACACGCGTCCTGGATCCCACTGCTAACCACTGTTCATTTCTGATTCTAGTGCTTGTAACTTAAGACAATATTGAGGCAATCCTCACAGAATGCACGTATGTCAAAAACAGATTGATCAATTTCAGTCCTAAATATCAATGAGAAGATTCAAACAATCAATACAAATGAATTAAACTAACCTTTATTTCGAAACCTTTACAAAGTATTTTGATGGAAATATGTATAGTATATAAAGTAAAAATAATGTTATTAACCAAAACCAATGGAAACGAATAATTCAACTTTACATACTTTCAACATACCATGAAGTATTCATAAGATGATTGAAACATTTAGATAAGAGTTCTATAAAATGAACATGAGAAAAAAAGAACCACACTGTCTTCATGGATTACGTTAGTATTACAAAATACTAAGTTACATTAATCAAGACAATAAGATGAAGTATAGTGAGACAATAGAGAGAAGAGTTTGAAGTACATCAATCATAATTTCATAAAATGAAATAATTGAAATCAAAGGAGCTCATGAAATGATAAAATTCTATCATTGAATTATAATAAGTTTATCATGATACTAATAGATTGACAATTGTCTTATTACATATTTAGGTTATTTACTGTAAAGATTATTAAATTTTGCAGTTGGATCATAGACCAGTTTTAGTTAAGCAGCTATTGAAAATCAGAAAGAACTGGACAACTATTTCGTTATAGTTTGAGACATCTCAGAAGTGTGTGTTGAGTCTTTTTAGCCATACATTAGCTCTATTTGGAGAGTAAATGATTTATTACTTTCCATATCCTTCTATTATTTATTTGTTAACTGACTTTCAGTCGTGTTTATTCTTGTGTTCAATACTTTGTACATAAGCATATTCTTTTATAGGAAGCAAAGACCTCTTCTTCTGTAATATGGGCTTTATCTTCTGATATCAGGTAGTGAACGTTCATCGAGTTAGGTGATTGAAATATGTATTACATATGTCTAACCATGCCTACCTCAACACATGATGTCTATTGGTGTGAGAGGTTGTTGGAAGAAAGTTACGGGTGACAAAACCGAGAAATGGGATCAGTTCATGAAGTCATTTTCAGATAAACAGAGCCGTGTTAGTATATTTATACCACTCGATGGGAGTCTACGTGATGATTAGAATCAATCGTTGGGAAAGAAACTTTTTGAAATGCTTCGTGTTGAGAATTCTATATTATACCAAAACATAATATTGAATAAAGCCATAATAATAATAATAATAATAATAATAATAATAATAATAATAATAATAATAATAATAATAATAGTGTGAAACGGCTCAGGATTAGTTTTAATGATACGCATTCATTCATTCTTTATCTTCCTTTAAATCCTCACATTTTTTGTTTCACGAGTTTATTTTCTCTTCTCGAACCATATCATCTATACCTGATCATTTCTACTGCCACTAATACTGTTACTGATCTTAATACTCTGGGGGTTTTCCTGATAATCTCAGTTCTCTGTGTCATTGTGGTGTGGCAACCTGGAAGAATATATTTATATGCTAGGTTAAATGTTACATCTGAGTAACTGATATCATTTCATTCGAGGAAATATGATAATTATTCTGTCTGATAGGCAGTCATCACCACTCAGTCATACTGTAGCACTACATCTTATCAATCGATAGGCGCATTTAATTCATTCATTTAACAATCTCCAAACGTATTTTCAGTCTAAATCATAAAAGAATAATTCATAAGTATCAATAGCGATAGGATCAATGAGCAGATACTGAACAATGGAACTTTATTATCAACAGTAAACTTTTCACTTTCCAATATTGATAACTTCCATCTTATTGCTTCCAAACTAAATTAATCAACTAATCACTGTTCAAACTTCATGAGGAAAATACTATTTATTGTTTAAATTGCTGGCTGATCTTATTTTGGCTACTGTTGAAAGCCCGAAAGCACTGGATGGCCGTTTTGTCTTAGCATAGGATTACTCAACGTCGCTGACCTGCAATCACGCATCCGAGACTAAAAACCAGGACTTTCGGTTCAGCGTGAAAACCGTTAACCTCTAGACCGCTGACCAGGCTTCCAGATTTTCACTAGTGGTCTAGGTAATATTAATTTCTGATTTAAAATATAGAGATTCTTGTCTGCACTATTACCCGTGCACTAAAAATACTATTGCTTGCAAAACACTACTCATTTGAAAATAAGTAGGTTTACCGAAAAAAATCAATGTCTTTTCTGTACCAGACATTAGTTTGCATGTAACTTGGTTCGGATATCGGGAAAATTCGGTTATTGGTATTGTCTTTTGATGAATTGAAATTATTTATTTGAACTATTATTATATGAAATATTTTCTACGTTTCATAACACACAGCTGCATCTCGACATATCTGAAATTTACTAGTAAATTTCTTAGAAGAGTTATTCATTATGCTTTACTATGAATCTATCTCTTATCATGGGATGATTTGAACAAGTTCTACAGTCAGATTTACTGCATATGATTTTATAGTTTACAACATGGGCATTCATAGGATATATCATTCTTATAGATGAAATGTTTTGGGATCATTTTTCTGTATACTAATTCGATTTATACACTAAATAGTCTCCTTATTTTCCAGAGAAAAATGGTTTTTCTTCTAGTATAAATATTTGACTATTATCCTACCCTTACATGAAAAATCTTTTTGCAATGATCAAAGTAGCTTTTAATTAGGCAATTTGAAGCTAGACCACAATGGAAAACCTGGAGGCACAGGACAGCCGTTTCGACTTAGTATGGGACTTCTCAGCAGTGCGTATCCTCGATCCCGCTCCCGCGAGATCCGAACCCAGGAACTATCGGTCTCACGCGTGAGCGCTTAACCATTAGACCACTGAGCCGGCACCCAATAGTGTTAATGTCTAACTTCAACTAATCCACGAGATTGCGCCACCATACACCACTGTTTTCAATGAGCTGATATTGAAATTACTAAAATCTCCACAAAACCCCTTCTGATTTAAATTAGGCCTTTATATTTTAGATTTCGAGTTCTCTTATAATCAATGAAGTAGTTGTGTTAATCACGTCACGCTTCATTAGTTTATCTTCAAAATACATTTTACTAACTTCAGATATACATCCATTTACCTGTATTTGATCATGTTATGTTTCCATTATTTAATTCATTTTCATCTTCTAGTTTGTTTAGAATGATGTTACTAAATACGAGTTTCTCTTCTTTAATTTACTAGCTAATGCTTTTCAACTTCAATCAACAGTAGCTCAAAATTCATGTTTTTCCGTGGATGAATTTGTTCATATACCTCCTATGTCTCGTCCACTACCACCAATCTCTCCTACTGGTACTACAAAGTCAGTCAAAAATAATACTGACCAGCTAATAAGTATCACAAACCCTTTACTTAATGCTCATATCAGCAGTGATCAATTATATCTGTCGAAATTTTCTACTCCATCTGATGAACCTTTTTGTTTTCGTCCAGTCGGAACTCCTGATCCTAAACTTTGGTATCATATAGAGTGGACAGGCAACCATAATGACAATATCATGAATCCTAGTGGAACCATCAAGAAATCCATTAAACGTCTAGATAAAAGATCTGATAAATTAGAGCGTTTGTTATGCACATGCATTCATAAAGTTGACGATTCCCATGCAAATAATTCTTTGGGTAATAAAGGCGATATTTCTACACGTGATTTTAATCAAAATGAAGTGACCAAAATGTGTTCAGAATGTACAACACGTCACCCTCTTTTATCGCCTTCTGAGGTAAATTCTTTAAAGAACCATGCTACCTTACTATCGGTCAATAAATCAAAACGCTTTAAAAAGGGGAAGAAACATCATCACAATTGCCTGGATTATAGGAGGGATACATCAGAGCTTTCAGTTTTCAAAGGTGAAAAAATGCATTAATGCCATCTGAAACTTCGAGAAGTTTGGATCATCTTATGGAAACTTTACCAAAAGAAGTGTTCTTTAATCGTCTTTTGTTAACACGCGTAAGTTTTATTAGGTTAATGCTATTTATGTGGAAAAGACTTTCCGCTTGGAAATCTGAATGGTGCAGTTTGCCATATTGATTGGTATTCTTTATAGTTTCTGTTGAAATTCCAACCTGCTAATTACCAGAATAACTTGGTTCCATAGCTTACTCAATTTTAATCGCACTGTTCACACGTTCTAACTTCGTACAGTCTCTCTTTTTTATAGTATACTTATTTTTTGGTCATCAACTTGAAATATCTTCATGACTAGATAGAATGTGTTTGTTCAGTTAATAGACAATACCTTCAGTAACATTTTTAAATCATTAAAATAAATCCCTGTTGAAATTTCAGATTGTAAGATGGACATAGCAAAAATGATTATTGTTTTTCTTCGCTTTAGCTCTGTCTCAAGCAGAGGACACAAGCAATTATTTCTTGGGATTTACTATAATTTTTTTATTATATTGAAAATGTTTACTTCAGTAATCATGTACAAGTTCATAATTTAAGTTTTACACCGAATTTCTCGTATAGGAATAAACTCATCCTCATTAAATTAAACATATTTGTATCAAACATAGAATTGAAATAGAATTCGTTTTATAAATTTATCTCTTGATTAACATCTTTGTGGTATGTCTGACTATGGTAATTACAACCTGAATTTAAATCCTTATTTTTATTACGTATATTCTTTAACCGATAAGTTGTTTAGTTATGCTGGTCAGCGTTTTCTTTGTTTGGTTTTTTCCGAGATGAGGTTGCTGACCCGCAAAACCAACTTTCCTTTCTTACTCGTGCTTGGGACCGGCAGTATCCTTAGAAGGGCTCGGTAAGAATTCCCTTCAGTTAAACTATATTAGTTGAATACGTCTTATACATACATTCACATATTTATTCAGTGAACCATTGTTTCTACCTTCTAAAATCGATTGTGTTAGGATTTTGGAGAAGATTCAATTTGAGGGTTAATACTGTTATCATATTATGATTCCGATCATTTCAGTCATGCTAATATTTGTTTCAAATAGATTGGATAGTCATAACACATATCTTTCCCAGTTAAGGAAACCACGTACTTCGGTTTGGGCACGCAGGAAGTATCCGACCCCACACACAAATCAAATGATGATTACTGAGGGAAAAATTATTCTTGCTTCAACTGGCTTTCAGACAAATCACATTCACAATTATTTGAAAACACTCGTTTTTACTTTTTTATACCATGTCTATTATCTACTTCCTTTTATTCTCATTATGTGTATCGTTTTCTTTTCCAACTGGTATGACAGCTTGCCTATGGTGAAAACCCTGTCCTATCAAGACGAGCTCAAGTCACTGATTAGTCAAAATTTTAATGCTACCACCAAATACGAATTGTGGACCAACCTTCCTGAAACCACGTATGCCATTCAGACGGGTATCTTTTAACGTCCCCATACTAATACAGATCGGACAACAGATAAGATTGACTATGTCTTTAGACAACCTTAACCTCGATGTCTGTTGTCTATCTACGACCCGTATTCAAGACTGACAAGTACTGCAAATTCGCTTCATCTGCCGGTTCCAAAAGCTCGTTTTTCATGTGTTTATTCAGGGACTCTGTGGCATCTCCTGGTTTTTTTGGCGTTGGTGTCACACTAAGCGCTAGGGCAGAGGCACCGTTCATCGATTGGACCCCCGATAACAGTCGATTATGTGCTGTTAGATTAGAAAGTTCCATCAAAGTGAGAAGAAATCGGCGTGAGAAACGATGTCTTTTCGTCATCTCCGCCTATGCCCCGACAGATTGCAGCCCGGATGCAATCAAGGATGAGTTTTACTACCAGTTATCAGTTCTTCTCCAGGAAGTGCGTTCGACAGGTATTGTAGTACTAGCCGGAGACTTGAATACTCAGATCGGCCATCTAGGCACAGAAAAGAGTCGTTTAGGTGGCCGATGGGGACTTGTTGGTCTCAGGTCTGATGACGGTAATTGTCTGCTCCGAATTTGTTCGGAACACAATCTGTTTCTGGCTAGTACTAACTATCGGCACAGTCATCGCCGATGTGCTATTTGACGTCCTCCCTCTGCATCTCAAACCTGGACTCAGATCAATCACGTCAGCTAGCGTTGGTGTCTTTGTGTGCAAAACTGATGTCCCTTCTGGAGTTCTTATCTAGACTGGATTTCTACAGGATCAATACAGCTCGTTGAAGCAAATCGGTCTACTTCGGGTAACCGTGAATTTGACTATGAACCAGGACTACTACGTAATGAAATTGGGCAAAGCTTGCGTAAGGACCGAAAAGCTTGGCGGTCGGTGCGTGCTAATGAGTTGGAAGCAGCAGCTGCATTTGGTAACTGCCGAAGGCTCTTTCAACTCATCTGAGTCACTGGCAGCAAGAAGTTTGGTGTGAGCGAAAAAACCTGTGAAGATGATGAGATGCCAATCACTAACATCTATCGACGTTTTGAACTACGGGCAGAGTTTTTCGAGGAGCAGTTCAACTGATCTGCTGCCCTGGAAACATTAATCAGAATGTCCTGCCCTCCGAGGCTTGTGTCGATTGATTCACTGAATGAGGCGGAAGTCCACAAAGAACTCCAACTCTTGAAGCCCTACAAGTCAAAGGCCCAGATGACCTACCTCCTACCCTTTTTGAAGGGTCTATGTAATAACTATCGAGGGATACGTCTACTTCTGATCGCGTCCAAATTGTTGGCTTCCGTCATACTTCGTAGGTTGTTCAAAACCCGAGAAAGACTGACTCGCGAAGAGCAGGCTGGTTTTCGTTCTGGTCGAAGATGTATTGATCACATCTTCACCCTCCACTAAGCATTAGAGCACTGTCATACTTATCAAAGGCCAACAATCGTAGTGTATCTTGACATCAGGGCTGTCTTCAATTCGTTGGACAGGACTGTTCTCTGGGAGTGTATTGCAGAAGGGTGTGGCTGAGAAGTTTATTAACATCTTAAAAGCCCTATATACAAACACCTCCGGCAGAGTGAGGACATACAACCGCCTCTCTCCATTGTTCCGTTCACACAGTGAGGTTAGGTAGAGTTGCCCAATCTCACCGTTCCTCTTCAACTTTGCTATCGATGACCTGGAAACAGCTCTGATGGATGTAAGTAATGGCTGTGTGAATCCGTTGCCTGGATAAAGACTACTTGACCTTGAGTATGCGGATGACATTGTTTTACTGTGCAATACCCAAACCATGCAATATCCATTCAAACAGTTGACAATTAGTGTCCGTAGGTATGACATGTGCTTTGCACCTTCTAAGTAAGAACTAATTTTATAAGACTGGAAAGATCTTGTGCTTCCACTCACTCGTAGTAGCCAGAAGATGGGAGCAGTCGAAGAGTTCGTGTATCTGAGTAGCTGTTTATGTGTTGATGGTGGCGTGTGTGATGAGATCAATTCATGCATAGTGAAAGCCAGAATGGCTTATGTCAATCTGGGCTATATTTGACGCCTTCGTGATGTTAGTCCGGTTGAAAACTGTCAGATCTACAACGCATCGGTGAGAGTAGTTTCGCTCCATGCTCTCCTAGTTGAGAATATCAGACAATTCTCTGTGTTTGATCATCGTTGTCTCGAAAGGATTGCTGACATTAAATTACAATACTATGTAACTAATCCCGAGGTTCGACAAGATGTGTTCGGCCAAAGCGATAATAATTCATTTGGTGACACCGTTTCAAAACACCGACTTCGGTGTGTTGTACATATAATACGAATGTCGTTCCAGAGAATTCCACATCGTGCTTTATTTACGGGCGCTAGAACTGGTTGAAAAAGCGGAGAGTTGGTCAGTGTATGATATGATGTGTTTGTATGACGGTAAGCTATACAGAACTGGCCTCTGTTGGTCGTTCACAATTCCGTGGTTGGAGTCTTAGAGATGGTGTCGCACATTGTCTTGAGACGTTACCAGACATAACTCAAAGTATAAACCTGTTGTGATCTCTCTGTAACCTTCTTTTACCTTCTTTATAAAAGTGAGAGTAACTTCTTTAACTGAAAAAATCCTTTCTGGTTGTATTTTTCCTAAATGAACTGCTCCTTTTATTATGTTTATTATCATCACTTCATTATTATTCACTCACATAGAGTTCTATCCGTCTTTTCTTTATTGTGTTCACCTTCCTTTCTCTATCTCTTCACAAATTCATTTTTATCGTGTGGCGCATACATATTTTAGTTCCCTTTTTTGAACCAGTGCCTGTGTGTTCAAATCAATACATTAATATATTTCCAATTGTATTTTCGTCCGATGTTTTGATACTCTTGAATTGACCCGCGACTGTTGTTACTGACCATGAATTCGATCATGTCGGTATACCTGTTTGATCTGTTCTTTCCTATTTTATTGAATCGTTTCATTTTAATGCAAATAATTTTTATGCCTCCAGTATATTTATGAACTTAGTCGAACAATCTCAATTTTCTCTTCTTTGGCAAATAGAAGGTAGTAAGGCAGTGGGTATGAGAATCAATTCAATTTGAAATGGTTTGGGTTAAATCAACTTGTATCATAATAGATACATCGAGACAATCTGTACAGAATATCTATATGTCAACCAATAATGATCAAATTTCAGTCAAAAATATCAATATTGTGATAATCCAAACCATTTCACATTGAATTAACTATTAGTAATAAGATAAAAATAATTTCTCACTAGCATAGTTGTAAACTGTTGTTAATCCAGATCGAAATGAAATTCTCTCGGCTTTTTTAAGTAAATCTTCTTTAAAAAAGTAATGTATGGAAATATATCTGTACACAACTCCGTTTCTAATCATTTATAATTTAAAGCTTTAATTTTTAGTCGTGTTATAAATATATTTAATCATATCTGCACTGTTCATCTCATCTACCTTTCAATCTTTTTTGGATTTTGTCTAATATCAAGTTATCTGTCACAAAATATATGGATAAATTATTCGAAGTCATGTTCAGCAGCGTTGTACAGTCGCATAGTTTACCAGCTCCAATTAAATATCTTTTTGATTTTTTGGATGATAAAGCAATTAAACTAGGCGTACACGATTCAAAAATAATTCATGCTTGGAAATCTAACTGGTTAGTGATTATTATTATTATTATTATTATTGGCATTGTTTTAACCGTATAACTTACAGTGATAGTATTTCTATAAAGAGCTCATTTAACATGTTTATGAACTATACAAATCAAAATATCGTAAATACTGTTCCTAATACTACTTTTAATAATTAATAGTCATCTGTTTACATGCATTATGTAAACAACTGAATGCAACATTAAAATTTTTAACTTCATATAAACATTCAATAAAATGAACAGTTTGGCAGGAATTGAGCGTCAATTATTTAGACAACACTATATGTAAAAATTGTATTTAATGTAATCTCAGTGACTGAGTTTGATCACTTATGTGAAGCAGTTCAAATCAGTTGGTTGAGTTGAAATGTTGGAAGTATGTAACTTTCAATCACTGAGATTATTTTAAATATAATTTTTACACTTACTCGCAATTGCCAAATTTTATAAAAATGTTATTTCATTTTAAATGTTTTCTTAATGAACGTTTTTATTATCATTTACAAGTTTAAAACTCAGCTCTAATTCATGGAATACCATGTATTCATGAGTTAAAATCTTGCATAACTAATGCTGTGTATAGATGGGTACTGTATGTTGTGTCATTCTAAAGTATATGCCAATAAATTATTTTTACAACTCTGGTTTGTCGTTTTATACTACAATCCTAAACTTTTTGATTCAATGATCAGATTTATTCGCAAGTAATTTTTCACATTCCTTGGTATAATCATCTCTTCTTTAAGTGTTTATATAATTCATTAGGGTTTCAGTTTGGCTGCATTTCTCTCTTCGGATAACAACTCATTATTTAATGAACATATTTATTGTTATTTAATATAGTATATCCAGCTTAGTGTAAATTCTTAAGAGTCATATATCCTTATTATATCCATTCAGCGAATGTGGTAGTTTTACTTATTATCATATATATATGAATGGGACCTCAACACATCCTAGTTGTTATCCTGAATTATCTTTAAAATAGTTGATTCCCCCCCCCAAAAAAAAATATCTGATAATAATCACCTTGTTACCCTAAAATATTGGATACATTCCTTTTCACGTTTTTCTCTTTCATTTGATGAAGTTTAGGTTGTTAAGTAATTTTTGTGTTAATTACTTTTTCATTTACTGGTATTGGCCTGTAATTTATGTTTGTTTTCAAATCGAACTAAGCTTCTGTTTTCTTGTTGAGATGAAGTATCTTAACCGTTTCTGAATCAGTCTAGTAATTTTATTCGTTGAAACCTGGAGTATAGTAATATTGTGTAAGTAATTCTTGGTTCGTTCAAATTATACAAATCCCAACTGGATTTCGGGAACTTACGAACACATAAAGTTACTTTTTGTTTTCTAGTGATATCATTGAACACTCAGTCCATTTTTGGATTTATTATACTAATTAATTTATTCTTTTCCTCGTCTAGTATACAAATGCGTTTCTGGAATCAATTTATTACCAATTTGGATTATATATTTGATGTTCCCTTATTACGTAATACTGCATTAGAACGTTCGTTTCATGCATTCAGTCATGCTATGACCTATGCATGTGCACCAAATAAAGAAAAAATAACTAAGGATTCGTCTTGTGTAAAACTGCTTTTTGCTCCAGATATTTCTGTAAGTCTAAGATAAATTTTATGATAAGTATTGATTTGTACGCGAAAAAATGAGACAAGCTTTTAAAGTATAAATATTGCACGTCTTATATAAGTATGACCTTCTTTTTGCTATGACATTATTGTTCATTGATAACTCTAGCTTTTTCATTTATAATTCATTCTTTTGATCAGCAACATGATCATTAATTTCTGAATGTGATGTGTTACAAAACTGAACCCTATATAAATAGGAAAAGCATGAGATTGAATTAGCAGGTTTTTTGCGGCTGAACACTACCCCAAGGCGTTGCACACTGTCGCCAAAATTCTACCTGGCCCTCCATGGTTCTTTAGTGCAAATCATTGCTTGATGAAACAACCCGTTTCTAAAAGGCGTAATGTTTCAAGTTTTGTATTTGATATTTTTCACTGCTTCTGGTAATAGTTATGGTTTTGTGAACGTACTTTTATTCATGAGTTTGTTATTAGTCCCACACAACATGCAAGTAAATATTTAATTCACTGAAAAAGAAATCCGTTTGTAATAATGTTTAATTAATGTGTTAAAATTAAATTATAGGGGTAAATATTGAAGAAAATGTGGAAAGGTGAGATAATGAAGTGTAAATTATGGCGATAAAACTTTGTTCTCAATTTGCTTACAATCTTCCTTAAATCTTTAAATGAATCAGTCAGAAGAAATATAGACAGACTGTACAAAACGTAGATGAAAATCTCTTGATAGTCTGCGATTATAGGCTCTTCTGTTTTATACGTTCAATATATGTAACACAATTTTAGTATTTTTATACTAAAACACAAACTTTACTCATTACAAAACTTGAATAACTCTCACTGTAATTAACAAAATTGTACAAGTTAATAATTCAGTACTTAATGTTTTATTTGCCTGTTAATACATCAGATTACAATGAATTAGTTGATTAATATTAAATTGGGAAGCTTGTTTTGTGTACCTGCTGACTGACTAACCTTAATTTATTATGGATATAATCTGTAAGGAGTCTCTTAAAGGTAATTGGTTTTTACGATCAACATTTAGAGTTACTTGTCTTTTTCACTCTTTAGAAATGCCATTATTTTTCGATTAATCTGTCTATATTCTTAAATAGAATTTATCTCAGTATTAAATTATGAAACTCAATTGTAAACTATCATTTATTTTTTCTCTCTTTTCCATTTAGCAACAATGGGATAGAGTGCATAATTACTATCGTGAAATTAAAGCTTTACCTACAGTTGAACAAGAAACAATGAATAATCTGCTACGACAACATTCTCAGAATCATTCTACAGATTTCAATGTTTCTTGGGCAGTTTTTGAATTGTATACAAAATATGTTAGAAATTATCAAGATATGGTGAGTAGAATTTATTAAATTCTTAATAGTAAAAATAGTAATTTCTAATTAAAAAATTACTACATTTTAGTGTTACATACATCATTTGTGTTGAAGAAATGAATGAATAATTTGTAATTAGTATGAATAGAACTTCAGAAGTAACTTTGACCATACGTTTATATTGTTTTATAAAAAAGTTATGTTTTATTTGCACCATAATTGTTGTAAAAGATAAAAGAATGATTTATTATCAAACTATTACTGGGAATTATTGTTTTATCAATATGGAGATTTGTGGAGATTTTAGTATTTTCACAGCTGAATTCACTAGTCGATCTAAGCTAGGCCAGCGTTAAAAACCTAAAAGCATTGGATGGCCGTTTTGTTCTAGTATGGGACTTCTTAGCAGTGAGCATCCATCATCATGCACAAAGAACTCGAACCCACGATCTTCGGGCTCGTACGAGAACGCTTAACATCTAAACCACTGAGCTAGCATCCAACGCTGTTAATGTCTAACTTCAATCGATCCATAGTCTTGACTCATGAAATCAACTGTGAAAACACTACAATCTCCCAAAATCCCAATATTCATAATAATCATGCGCTCACTAGTGATTAGCTTCAAGATAGAATTCCTGGAGCTCTAGTGAGAAGCCGTAGCGAGTGTAGTTCAATATGTGTCGAATGTGAGACATTTATTCACCTGAGATAATGGATGAAGGGTTGCGCACGATCATGGATCGATTGAAGTGAAACATTTACACGATTGGATGCCAGCTCAGTGGTATAGAGGTTAAGTGTTCTCGTACGAGACCGTAGGTGCTGGGTTCGAGTCCTGTTTGAGGACCGTGACGCTCACTATTGAGGAGTTGAATATTAGGACGAGACGGCCATCCGGTGATTTTAGGTTTTCAACAGCGGTCTAGTTAAGATTGACTCATGAATTCAATTGTGAAAATTATTGTTTTTGCATGCTTTAATTGTCTGTATTACATAATGGCTAAAATTAAATGGATAGTAGATTCTTAACTGATTGACTAACGCCATGTAACATTTAGTAACAGTATGTATTTAATTATTTGAAATCTGAATATATATTATATGAAAAGAACTAGTGTATACATAACCGAACACCTTTACACATAGACACAAAATAATGATTTATGTAGACTTAAGAGTCATCAAATTTTGCTATCTCATTGACTTCGTTTTGGGTAAGTTAGACGATCATTTAGAGATTTCAGTTAGTTGACCGGTCATCTTAAATCTTCCATCATTTAAAACTATTTCAATGTAATCGAACAATAATAAAACAACTCTTGTCCAACAGGGTTTTTGTTACTTGTATAGTTGCTCCACACAAATGAACTTTGATATTTTTATTGTAAGGAGCCTGTGTGATATCTGACTCTCTTGAAAATCAATATAAAATTACTTTCTTGCAGAATATATTTATAATTGTGAGTTTAAGCATTTCACTGATTTTGGGACTAGGTTATTGCATCAAATCCTATAACTATGGTAATGATTGTAGCTACTTACATTGTTTTTATTGGTCATCAAGGATTAGGAATATGAAAATCAGATGTTACCAACTTATCATTGCAGTAAACATCAAAGATGGTATTGATCGCAGATTGACGTTGGTTAAAGTATCATTGATAATTAGGAGCGACGTAGTGACTGTTTTGTCTTAATTTCTAAACAAATTTATCTAATTTTTACAAAACACCTCTATTAATTATCTGAAATAGTCATTTAATACATCGAGATCTTTTAATCAACGCATTCTTGCTGAACGGAGTAGAACATTCAGTGAACATTTAACTTCGAGATCAACAGGCTGGATTTGGTAGGGATCAATCATGTACGGGCCAAATCGCCAAACTATGAATCATTGTTGGACAATTGATTGCATGGAACTCATCACTATACATCAACTTCCTTGACTATCAGAGAGCGTTTAGGAGCGTGGATAAGAGAACCCTATGAAACCTTCTTCGACACTATAATGCATGTGAGAAGATCGTCAATATCATATGGAATTCGTACAAAGAACTACACTGTAAAGTCGTTCATGGTAGAAAGCTGACAGGTGCATTTCAATGTTGCTTACTCCTACTTCTTCTCTTTCTTCTGGTGGTTGACTGGATTATAAAGACCTTTAATTCTCAGGGAAAACATGGACTATAGTAGACAGTTTGAGTGTGGCTAAACTATTTGGACATTACAGATGACCTAGCTTTTATAGCCCATACACATCAATAAATGCAGTTGAAGACAACCAGTGTATCAACAGCCTCTGCATCAGTAGGTCTCAAAATACACAAGCGAAAAAGCAAGATCTTGAAATACAACACAGCGTGGTCAAACCAAATCACGGTTGTTGGAGAAGCTCTGAGGTGGAAGTTTCGTGCAACCGGCCAGTATCATATATAAATGGGGACGATCTGACACAGATGTGAAGGCACAGATTGGCAAAGCAGGGGCAACATATCTACAATTTAAGAATAGTCGTTAGTCGACACCAAATTCAGAATTTTCAATGCAAACTTTAAGACAGTTCTATTGTACGGAGCTGAAACTCGGAGAACTACTACAATCATCAAAAAAGTTTATTTACTTATAAGCAGTTGTCTATGCAAGATACTTGAGATATGTTGACCCGACAATTCCAGCTATAACCTACTATGACAGAGAACAAACGAACTACCAGCTGAGAAGTAAATTAGGAACGTCTCTGGAAGTAGATAGGTCACACTTTATGGAAATCATCAAACTGCGTCACTAAGCGATTCCTAACTTCAAATCTTGAATAAAAAAGGAGAAGGGAAAGACTAAAGAACGCATTGCCCCATGAATTGTAGGCAGACATTAAAAGGATGAATAGCATTTGGAAAGAACTGGAAAGAAGAGTTCAGGAAAGATTAATTTGGAGAGTGCTGGTCGGCGGCCTATACTCAATGAGATGTAACAGGCGTAAGTACTAGTTAGTAGATACTGATTAATTTCTTGTCATGAATATACTCCTTAACGTTTCTGTTAACTTTCTCTTTATTGTTTATTTTATGAAAAGCTCATAGCTCATTTACAACAAGATGCCATCACTCGATCATACAGTAATTATAAAATTTCAGAGCAAAACCCTTTTGAAAAATCTTTTATGTCTACAAATGCAGAATGGAATCCTGTGCAAATTATTCAAATCCTTATTGAAATTAAACGATGTTTAGATAATGTACAAAATATTCAAACATCAAGCAATGATAAATATCATCATTATTATCATCAAAATACAATGCATCCAAATATTAATTCATTTTTACCAAGTTCTACAATAGTTGGTGATATTTCTGTTCCATATGGTTCAACAACTGCAATTTTCCGCCCTTCTGGTGCTACTACCACTACTACTACTACTAATGTTGATGTTGGTAATTTTTCTCAACTTTCTTCCGCTCCAAGTCAAACTGCAACTGATTGTTTAGATACACTTCGTTCATATAACACATTAACTACAGAATTTGCTGGTGATGAAACTAGTCGATCTGCGCATCATTATTATTATCATCATCATTATTATCATTATCATCCGAATGATGCACAAATTAATGATAATAATAATAATAATAATAATAACACATCACCGAATAAACCGGCTGATTTATCTGCTCATTCAACAGCTATCAGTACAAATGATACATATGCAGACAGTATTTCTAAATATAAAGATCCATTAACTTAAAGAAAAATATCTTTCTACACATATACACTAGGTAAAATTAGTTTTAAACTCCACTACTTTATTAATCTGTTTATAATAATTTGTAGGTAATGTTTTATAGTCTTTTTCTAATGGAACATAAATCCATTATTATCATTCAATGAAATAGAATTCAGTTTGTTCATAAACTGGTTGGTTAGTTGGTTTGGATTAAATCAGAATGTTTTGTTATGAATTTATTTTTCTCCTTCTACACAATCCGATTATTATTATTATTATTATTATTCATTTTTATTTTACTTTAGGCCATTCTGACTTGTACTGTTCCATTGTTTAACACTATCCATAAATTGTGCAAGAGTTAATTATTTCAGGCAAATCACTTAACAATTACATTCATTTGTACACTTAAACCAGTTATAGTTATTTTCTGTGTATAGATTTCATTACTGCCTTGTTTTGTTCTGCTTTATGTTATTTTCATTTAGAATTAATAAGTAAAAGATGGATAAATTTTGTACTATGATGCATTTATTCTTGTTTAGAACTTATAGTCTCTTAATTCATTGGATTGTAGTATATTAGACAGGCTGCGTACTTACTATCAGTTTGTTATTGTTGCCGGTGATGATTTGTCTTTGTTTATTTTCGTTTTCTTAGTTCTCATGTTTTCCTCCATTTGTGTCGTTTTATTATCTAAGATATATCCTTTTTATTTGAATTCGTTTATTTATTTACTGTTTCTTGTGAATAAATAGCTGCCGTTAATGTATTCTCGCACCGTCCCCGCGCTACAAAGTTTACATTTCGTAAAAATCTGGGTTGGTTTGCTTCAAAAATGTAGTCTCGATTTTTTTCTACACTGTTTTTCCTTTTTTGGTGATAAACTGTCTTAATGATGAAAATTCCCCCAGGTTCTTCTTTCTTATTTTCTTATCCATTACTCTTACTGTTACCAAGATAAAAATGTTCCAACTGAATTTGAAATCGTGTTATGGTTTTAATATTATTATTACCCACTGAATTGCCCTTTTATTTAATCCCGAATTAAAATATGGCTTACAATTATGAACTTATATATGATACTAAATAGAAATGTGATTAATTGTGTTGTCTAACTTTTTTCGTTTGGTAAAACGTGCCTTTGGGAATGTTTATTAAACTGTTGTGTCTATTCTCCTTGGCTAGTATTAATTACAATTAGTTTGCATGAATCCTATAATGACTAGTTATTTACAAACATTACTACAAAATTTCTAAAAGTGCTGATTATAGTTGACCATATAAAAACTTATCTAACTGATTACCTAACTACTGCTCATTGTACCATTGACTTAGAGCTATCACACGTATATAGTATGGCGACTGAAAATATTACGGGAATATTCAGACTCAAATACATACAGATCCCACTGCATAATTGTTAAGTTTCAATTCTACTATTTAAATCTAACTAGAATATTACCCATTTTGTTGGAATATATTATGATGAATTTAGCTCAGATGCTTAAAAATTTGGCGTGGAAAGTAAAGGTATTAATAGCATAGTGATGTAATCTACTGATGATTGACGTGAAATAGTCATCATTCTATGTGGAGTACAGAACCATTTTAGCTGCCCAAGAAATCGAGTTTAATGGTTGAGTGTAAAACGATACAAGATTAATAGTAACACGAAAGGGATGGATACGTAATAATGAGTCAGGGGTAGAAAAGATTGAGCAATTCGGACATAGGATATGTTTTTGTAGGTATCCAGGATGTATAGTCAAAATTTTGCTGACAGATTTCTTATCTAGGCTGTCGTATTCATTTCTACTACATTTACTAACAAGTACTTATATATTACAATTTCCTTGCAAATATTTTACAAACATTATTGGTCAATCCAGAAGCTTTTGATTGAACGTTCTTTTTGTGACGTGAAACATTATTGGGATGAAGTTCATTTGGTAGATGCTATTCCATATATCCTCCAAACAAGTTGACTTCTGCTCGCTGATATCCGAAAACTTTCATCTAGTATAATCATTCATGTTTGATTGTGAACAATATTCATATGTGACGTCACATCCATCAGTGATGATTAGGTATTTAATAAAGCTTTTTGCTGGGATATGTTCCTATATCAGTAGAGGCCCAATTTTAAGGATAATAATGATAATCCTCACCAAATTTCAAAGGGTTAGTTAAATATTCTAGGTATCTTTCCAAAGTTGATGAGTTTCTGTTTTGTACAAAATCTGTGTGCTTCCCATCCTTTTAAAATATGTGCAGAGCTGAAGACAAACCATCATTGCCCTATAATAAAGATTGTTGTACTCACCATCAGAAATACTGTAATTTACGTAATAATCATAGATCTAACAATATACTATCAGCTGCCCTTAAAAAGCTTACTTCTATCATAACTCTTAGGATAGATATATGCACCAAGATAATACATTAGTGATTTATATCAGTAGTATAGATTACATTTTAGTAGCATTATAGCCTATGCATTGATCATAATGAAAAATTTAATAAAGGTACCATAGCATAATAAATCAATGGTACAACACTTGGAATAGGTCAAAATAATCACTAAAGGTTGTGTAATGCAAAAGAAGGGAATATATAAATAAGGAGTGTTTAAATAGGACGAATTGCGTGTCATGTACCCTCTGGTTCCTGATTGCAGCCAAATCTGTGACAAATATCACATACTAATTAAAATATTCTTGGCATTTGCCTTACATCAAAACTATAATCTTAAAATTTACGGTGAATTAATTGAAGATGATTGTCTGAAATTCTAATGGCAAGTCGTTATCAATAGAGTTTAACCATCTCGAGAGTGAAACAGTCGTCACCAATGACATCGTACTTGACAGCAGAACCGTTAACATAGAAAACGCTTATCATTATATTTCAAACCTATAAGCCCTAAGTTCGATTCCTTGTGAGGCGATTAGTCTTCAATTATGAAGAGTCTCATACTAGAATGAAACAGTATTAATATTATCATTGTGACTAAACGAACTTTATTGTGCATACAGCTACCCATATATATATATATATATATATATATATATATATATATATATATATATCTGTATTCGGTTTTTTTCCTTTCACATGGATTTTATTAATTTATTTGTTCACATGAAGAAAATCAATTAAAACATTTACGATCCTCTAGAGAACTACTTTAATTAGTGAATTATTCTTTTATTTTTATTTCGGTATAATTATTATTTCTTTTACAATAAATATACAAAATGATCACATTAAAGTTCTCGTTAATATACAAACATATAATAATAAGAAAAAGACATTTTGATTAGTTTATTAATAATTAAACTTGAATTAAAAATGATCTACACTTCTCATCTTAATTTATTGGTTTATTTACTTTTTATTTTTCCTCATAATCAAATTACTTACAATGGATGTAAATAATTATCAATGAGATGCTTATAAATACAAAAATCTCTTCTTATTATTATGACTGATTAACGGTTGTTTTTTGATTTGTATCTTTTCAATGATAAAATACACGTGAATTAATTTTGACAAATTGTATGTGATTAGTTTATTGGATATAAACAAAAGATGAGTCGATTGAAGTTAGAACACCTTGGGAAATCTGAAAGCATTGGAAACGTTCGTGTGTGTGACTGAAGATTTTGGATTTGAATCTTGTGAACGGGATTATGGATGCTCATTTTTGATGAGTCCTATACTAGGACGAAACAGCCATCTAGTGCTTCCAGGTTTTACATAATGGTCTAGTTTCAATCGACTTATGATTTTAACTATTAAATACTTCGACGCCTAACCAAAGCTCGTGAACAGCAGACTACAGAAAATCAGGCTGGTTTTCGACCTGGGCGTGGTTGTATAGACCAGATATTCATGCTACATCAGGTTCTAGAACACAAACAAACATTCAGACGCCCCACAATCGTAGTATTTCTCGACCTCAAGGTGGCATTTGGCTCTGTTGATTGTGAGGTTCTATGGCAGTGTTTGTCACTGAAAGGAGTACCAAAGAAGTACATTAACCTTATAAAGGCTCTCTACTCGAACACAACTGGTAGAGTGAGAGCTTATGGCGAACTGTCATCAGAATTGATTACCTCAAGTGGTGTTCGTCAAGGCTGTCCACTCTCCCCATTCCTGTTCAACTTTGTCATCGACGTACTTTTAGAGATAACACTTTCCTTGTCTAAATTTCCAGGGGTTGGACTTCTACCGGGAGGTTCACTTGTTGACTTAGAATATGCAGATGATATAGTTTTATTTGGCGAAGACGCTGACAAAATGCAGAGTCTTCTGACCACTCTAAGTAACAATGCAGGTATGTTCGGGATGCAATTTCCCCTCCCCTCGAAATGCAAAATTTTGCTTCAGGATTGATTGGGTTGCATTGACACCCGAACTAATGATAGGGAGTGAAGTAATTGAACGTGTCGATCGCTTCATTTTTCTTGGAAGTCTGATCAGCCCTTGTGGTCTGGTGTGTGACGAAATCCCAGCATGGATACAGAAGGCTCGACTAGCTTTTACCAAATTGCGTCATTTATGGAGTAGGCGAGATATCCGTCTATCAACCGAAGGACGTTCCGTCCTACTTTATGGCAGTGAAACATGGCCGGTAAGAGTGGAGGATATTCGTAGGTTACTAGTATTTGACCATAGGTGTCTTCGAAGCATTGCTCGTATATCCTGGGACCATCGAGTAAGTAATGCAGCTGTCAGGAAACGGGTACTAGGTAAGGACGGCAAATCAATTAGTGACGTAGTGAAACTTGATCAGTTGAGATGGCTGGGACACGTGTTACGTATGCCCAACGACCGACTGCCTCGATGTGAGATGTTTTGTTGTATAGGAGTAGGTTGGAAGAAAGCTAGAGGAGGCCAGACTAAAACATGGCACAAGTCCATGAAGTCACTGACAAGTGAACTGATTCATGTTGGTAGGTGTAGACTACCTGGTTGGGGACCGCGAGATGATAGCAACCGATGGTTAGAGACCC